CTGTCGCGAGATGCTGAGGCGACCAGCTGTCCGTCTCGCGAGACCACCACCGCCTCGACATAGTCTGAATGGCCCTCCAGCACGCTGCGACACGCGTCCCAGTCTGCCTCTCTGCCCGACAGTATCTCCACTGCTAGTATGGCCTGATTCACAAACGTTTTCCGGACAATGCTCGTCTCTGGTGCGAAGACAAGCGCTGACGAGTACACCTGTAGGGGTGCCTCTGCTACAATCGAACAGAACCGCAACACAAATCGGTTTGCATCGCGAAGGAAGCTTGCACAGGCGCTTGCAGATGGCTACATCGGAGATTAGTATATGTAGTGAATGCATTTTCATGTGTAACTCCTTACCCCCACGAGCGCCTGCAGTCTTGTCAACAAGCGCACGCACTGGCTTGTCTCCCCCATAAGACTCATGGCTTCAAGCCAGTGCAGAAAGTGCGTCTGGAGAAAATCTTGCACTTCGTCTGCGTCTGCGTCTGCGATGCTGTGCTGGCTGCGCTCGAGATGCTCGACCCAGTAGCGGCATGAATACTGCAGCTCGGGTGAAAGGTTGCTACTAACTGATCCTGCATCGATCTCACCTTTTAAGGTCCCAGGTCCTGAGAGACTGCACATGTCCTGCCGAAGGCCGTTAGGCGCAGACATGAGCTCGAGGCAGCGAGATGCCAGCGTCTTATGTATGCCTTTCTCATCTACCCAAAAGTTGTCCTCACCGCATCTCCTCCTATCGAGCAGAAAGTCACGAAACGAAGGATGGTGCAGACGGAGCGGTCGTCTCGCGTCTCCTGGGATGTTGAGTATAGCATGCAGATTCTGCAGCATCTGGTCTACCTTATGCTTTGGTATGAGGAGGAGTGCACTCAGGGATCCGACAGAGAGTGGAGAAATCAATGCTACAATGCTTCCCAGTATAAGTCGCAGCATGTTGTAGTACATGGTCATCTCTTGCGCATTGTATCCGGGGCGAATCGAGGTCTGTAGCACTGTGACATACATCTTGTTGAGCTGTTCTTCTGGCGCGACTGGATCACTAGAAGCACTGCCTGCAAGAAGTATGCGAAGCCTCTCATCAGCGAACAGCCCTTCACGGACAAAGTGACAGGCAGTTGCCGCCCAGATGAACAGACCGCTTGCACTCTGCACTAACAGTCTGATCACTTCTGCGCCCGGCCAGTCGGCAGCCTGATAGCACTCTTTGGCAATGATTCTGAGGTGATGCTCGAGGAAAAGGCCTACGTCGTGGTCGACGATTGACGGCGAGATGTCGTGTAGCACAACATCCTTGTGCTCCGCATCCGCCATCTGCCCGAACCCGTGCCGGATTGGCACTTCTGGCCGGCTTGTCAGGAACACCCGCAGCTGGACACCTGTCAACGACCGCGCCTCGGCCAGCAGCTGCACGATGATGCGGATATTGTCGTCGCTGTCACACTCGTCCAGCGCATCAACGACTACGACATATGGCCCGGGCTCGTGCAGCTTCGACAGCGGGCGGCAGACGAGCTGCTGCCACTGATCGCGGAGCGACTGGCTGACGATGTTGCTGCGCTCTGCAAGAGCGTCGCAGATGTGCTGTCGCGATGCTGGCAAGCTGTGCGTAAGCTGCACCGCGATGCTCGTCACGAACTTGCCCGCATGGCTAACGTCGCCGCCGCCGCGCGAGAAGAAGAAGCTGGCTGCAAGACGCTGCCTGTCGTGGTACCTACGTGCGACGGTCCGGGCGATGGTCGACTTGCCTGTGCCCGCCAGGCCGCTCAGCCAGAAGATGCACCGCTCATCTGGCCCGTCTGCCCAGCTGTATATCTCGGACAGGAGGTCGACACGCGTGTCGGATAGGCAGGCAGGCTCGTGCTGTTTAGCGTACGAGTTGAAGGGCGCGTCTTCGGCGTGCGGTAGACGACCGAGGCTGTTCTCGAGCCCTAGTGTCGAGGTGTTTGCTTAGCGTCCCGCTTTCACTTACGGGTTTGACGGCCCTCGGGCGGTCCCGCAACGTACCAGGCTGGAGATGGAACTCGACAGGGCCGTTGATGGTGTGAGCCTGGAGGCTGGAGCGCGCGTCGCCGAAGACTGTCGTGGATGCTGTAGAGGCCATGGCATCGCTGCAGCAGCAGAGCATGCATCAGCGATGGTGTGTCTACGGTGATGGTGTCTGTGGCGCAGCGCCTGCTAGGCCTCACTCAGCCTGGCGACCTCGAGCAGTCGGCGTGACTGGCTTATGCTTCTGCAGCAAATGAACAGCTACCAACGCTTGAAGCATGTGCGCGATCTAACCCTCATCTTGCTAACCTCGACCTTGCAGATGTATATGGTGATAATCATGCGCTTGCGTGTACATGTAGTTCTTGTGTCCGCGAGTGTAGGATTGTCGACAGCAGATTATTACATCTAGTGCATAGAAGATGGTAAGGTGTAGTGGAAGCAAGAAGCGTTCGAGGTGGAAGTATCGGTGGTTTTGTTCGGCGCGGGCGGCTGTTCGAACCGTAGGGAGAGAGGTTAGCAGTTTTGCACGCAACCCCCCCCCCCCAATCGCAAAACCACAGGCAAAGGATTCGCCTTGCTGAAAAGGATCGAACTACGACTTTGATGATTGTAGACTCGGAACTTGGGCTGTCAAGCCCGCTTCAACTTTCTCATATCAATTGTAACATGTCTAGTACATGGCCCTTGAACACACCTAGTCGCTAATGCACCCTCTTCTCTGAGTCTAATCGTACACCACTCTTACTCACGCGCTTACCCCTCAAACACCCCATGATTGAGCTCGACTCCAAAATCCTTCGCCATCGTCTTCATCTGCTCCTCGAGAATATCTTCCAACCCCCTCTCCGCGCCAAACGCCTGCTTAATCCGACTCCACCAAAACACTCCGTCACTCAACAACAGCACAATCCTGAACCTCACATGCTGAACCCAGTTCTTCCACCTCTCGCTGGCGCTCAATTCCTTACTCTCCGCCAACGCCCGACTCGCCCACATACCCGTGATCTTCACCCTGTTCACCGGGCTGCCTAGGAACTGATTGTTGCCCTGAACAATCCTTAGGTTGCGGCCAATAAAGATGAGTTCCTGCGGCCACTTCTTGTCGTCCCCGAGAATCGACTTGATAGCGTCGCGCCCCTTGACTTGCATATCGTACGCGCGCTCCGCTGCATCTTTGCCATGCACACCCTTCTTAATCTCCTCGATGACTCTCTTATCGCCTCCCTGATACGGACGCATCAGCGTTGCGGAAGCGAAGATGTCGGGGTTGTTCACGCCCCAGGAGGTCACGATGTCGGCGATCGTAGCGTTGTCGAATGCGAGCAGTGATTTCCAGAAGAGAGCGTATTGGTGCCGGAATTCGGGGTTCATGCGGATGTACAGACCATGGTCGATGAGCACGATCTCAGGTTGGCCAGAGGGCAGACGGCGGACAAATATGTTGCCCGGGTGAGGGTCGCAGTGCACCAGGCCCCAGAGGAACATTTGTGCGCTGAAGAGGTCGACGATGGTGTTCATTGTCGTTTTCAGGCTGACTCCAAGACCGCCGCGCCCGTCTTTGCCCTTCCAAGCTTTGCGGCTGGGCTTGATGATCTCGTTCTTGGGCGCGTCGGCAGGGACGTCGGCGTCGTAAGCGGCACCGGATGGGATGGGAGGGAGTTGGACACCTCCTGCGCCGGGAGACCCGCGTCGCCAGCCGCCACGCCATTTGTTGGTGATGCCTTCCTTGTCCCAGAGGCGCACGCCTTCGATCCATTCAGCCGTCATGACGCGCTTGCTGGAGAGCTCTCGGTAGACTTGCGGGATGTAGACTCTGCCGTTGAGGCGCGGTTCGCCAGCGACGAGACCCCGCATCTCCTCGCCGTTATCTGCTTCATTCTCGAAGTCGGTTTCGAGCATCAGCCGCTCGGAGATGTAGGGTACGAGGGTGTAGACGGGGATGCCGAACCACCATGTGTATACTTTGGCGACGACCTTGAAGGCCCAGAGATCCCAGCCGACTTGTGATGCGATCTCGCGCTTCTGGATCTTGATGGCGACTTCCCGCCCGTCTGCTAGGCGCGCCCAGTGTACCTGCGCAACACTCGCACTTGCCCGCGCAGTCTTCTCCATAACACCTTTGCCCATGCCGCCTTGATCGGGTGAAAAGCTCACGCCGAACACTTCCTCAACGCTCTTGCCGAAGTCCTCTTTTACCACCTTTTCAACCTCCCACCATTCGTTCTGCGGCGCATCGTCGAACATCTTCGCAAACATCGTTTGGAACGACGGGGGCAGAATGGCACTCTGCATGGCGATCGCCTGGCCAATCTTCAGATACAGACCGCCATTGTACCGCAGCAGGTTGAAGATGCGCTCCGCGTTACGGTTGTGCACGTCTTCAATGCTGTTCGCGAAAGGCGGGTGGGCGCGGAAGTTGACCTTGTAATCGAGGCCAATCACAAGGCCAGTCTTGAATGTGCGGAGGGATCTCGTCAAGGATGAAGCGTAGAATTGCCTGTCAATGGCGTAGCCGACACCAACGAGCGCGGAGACGACGGCGAGGCGGCGCACCCATTTTCGCTTTGTGAACGGCGGCTTGACTTTTCGTATCCGCGGTTTAGGTAGATCGGCGGGATTTGGAGGGCGCAGTGGCTCCCATGCTTGCGATTGTATGCGGCGCACGAGGGCAGTTCGAGGGGATTGTGTAGAGGCGAAGGGTAAGCGTGCTAGCTGCGAGGCGACATTGTGTGCGGGTGCTCGTCGCAGAGCGAGCAGGCCATGTATCATGGCTGTCGCGGGTACGTGAAAGGCGAAGAATGTAGTGCGATGTTGTCTGGCGGAAGCATGTTGAAGCTGAAGGCAACTATCTTTCTTTCGTCATCGGAAGTCATGACGGCATGCTGAGCAGGGTCTTCGTCCGTGCGTGTTTGCGGCTTGCCGACTACCGACGCGGATGGATCCATGTCACCGCCCCGTCCCATGTGCAGTAGATACATGTTGACACCGAATCTGCTTGTCCTTCGAGGTCGAGACTGTGTGTCTATGCACACACTGACTGTGCTTTTCCTTTTCCAGAGTGGCGTAGTTGCCAAATCATAGCACGCTTGCCATTGGCTTGCCGACCCGGCCCTGCACGTGCTTCGGACACCTGACGTCCTCCATGAGCTTGTTGCAGACTCAAAGGCTGGCGATAGAGGTACCGAGGCATGCGGTGGCCGCGCACGGCATAACACTGGAAGAATGCACGGCCATCTCTCCAAAACCTGGGTTTGTAGGCCATGTCACGGCCGGGCGCTGCGATGCAGATTGTGCTGATGGCGACGAAGGGATCGTAGTCCGCGTGGGACGCGCTCTGTTAGAGTGTGAGGACATGCTCCGCACGCTCTTCACGACTGCTCCTCCTCCTCCTTCGCACTCATTCTTTCCACAGTCCTCAGATCGACACCCCACTGTGTCGCCAACTCCTCGACCTTGTCGTCCCACTTCTTCACTACAGGATGCTGCGCCGCGACTTCCCTGAACGTCGCTTCCCCATCCGCACCATGGACCTCCCACTTCCATATACCCTCCTCATCAACCCAGGTCTGACCCAGTAGCTGCTCAATCGCAAGCTCCTTCTGCGCTTCCCCGTACAACTTGCAGACCTCGTCGTGGGTGGTTTCATTGTGTCCCTTCCACGCGCCTACGAAGCCTCGCAGTACGCCCAAGACGTAGCCGACGCGTAATCCCAAGTCTGCACCCAGCGCGTACCCTTCGTCGAAGCCTTCTTGCACATATTGTCCCTTTGCGGAGGCTAGGCCTTCGCGGTAGGCGTCGGCATCGAGGGCGCGCTGGCGCGAAGGCAGATCAGACAGCATCTCGTGCGTGCGATCGGAGGCTTGTGCATCGAGAAACGGTGAGGTAGGCGCAGAGCCGTAGATATCATCGAGTGCGGATCCGTAGGGGGGTGTTGGAGGCGCATGGCCCGCTGCAAGCTGGGTCGGACCCAGGGGAGGGGTAATGTCGCCTGTTATGTTCATGATAGTGGATACACGATAGATTGAGACAAGGTTTGGCAAATGTGCTTCTGCGACTGAATTCCTATGGGAACATTTTGGAGGTGGGGGAGACGGCGGGACAGGTGGGGCACCGGCGGGCTCGGGGGTTCGAGCTTGATCGAGTGTGGATAATCAACTGTGTCCAACATCTTCAGCTGCCCCATCCCATGAATATCCAGGAAATCTCTAAAGTCAAGTGTGGCAGAAGACCCATTGCTTTCATCATTTTTCACCGTCATTGTTTGATTACTGTTGGTCCAGGACTGTCGTTCCGCTGGGCGTAGTTGTCAACAATCATATCAAGTCGAACCCTCTCTTCACATGCTTACCCAAAACAGTAGGGGTTAAGCCTATACAAGTAACTGCTAGGCTCGAACAGGTAATCAATCAAGTCAAGCTGAGCTCTCTGTGCCCCACTTAATTGATTGTCGACAATTATGCCGCTGGGGACTATGTTGCTTACAGCACGATGCACGCGTCCCAGCCGTGGGTTTACCACTCTGGACAGATTGGATAACATCTTGTGCGAATTCAAATCCTCCTTTTGAGTTCAGGGCGGCTGGGTTTCTCATCATCGACCGGAGATATGCCGCCGAACTACAACTGCTGGAGGCTGAGCAGTCAGGCTGTACTTAGGCGTGCCTCCAGACTTCTGTTCGCCATTCTTGTCTTCACCGCCATCTGTATATCAAAATCCTCGATACGCATGTGTTTGAAGGATGTCGTCTCGACATATGCTATTGACGCAGAGTAGGCTATGTCTGTAGCCTTCAAGACCGCAGCTGGTGCGTTTGCCGTTGTCGGGGTTGATGACGTAGCTGTGCGGACCGGTCGCCAGATATACAGCTTTCTCCTGAGGTCGCCGACGCTCCAGATTGCATCGATAGGTTACGTGCAAGCATCCACGACACACTCCTATTGTCTCAAGTTTCACGGCAATGCCTAGGAAACTTCAAGGCCCGCAGACCTTCATCGGGCGCCAGCGATGGCATGCTCTCGCTCGAAGCGGCGATGAAAATGCTCAACCGCGAACTACAGAGCCTCAAAGTCCTGACCGCCAAATTCAAATGGACAAGAGCCTGGAGTAGGGTGAAGTATGTACTGAGGTGGAGGAAGTGTCAGGCGTCCCTGCTCCGCCTCTGCGTTTCCGGATGAGTTTGCGGCCCATTGGGGGCATTCCTCTTCTTCTGGGAGGCACAGGCGAGCGTAGGCCGCACAATTGTCGAGAAATGATTCTCCCACGACCGGACCAGACTGACTGGTTGCGGCATGATCCGGAGATAGTTGTGATGACATTGTCACCTGCTTCGTTATTGAGTCCACAGTATGCTGCTGGACCAACCTTCAAACTCTGAGCAATGAGCCACAAGCTGCAGGCTTCGATGTCCCTACGATCAATCTCGTAGGGTCCGAGAAGGACCGTTAGCTCTTGTGCTAAGGCGACTTCTTGTACACACTAAACGCCTTCGAACCAGGGACTAGAGAAGACCACATCCACAGCCACCAGATGTTGGACAAATCTCACTCACGCATCGTAGCGTCCAAATTTACTGTTTTGAGCAATTCTCGTTGCGTGTCGATTGCAGCAGTCATGGGAGTGAAAACCAACAGCCGAGTCTGTGCACAACCTGTGCTGAGCACGGTTCAGACCAAAGCAGTCAGTACGATATGCGGAATTCGTCTATTACAAGCTCTAACAGCCCATCTACGTGTTTTATACTATGCCAGATCTACTGATGCATCACCGCGAATCTAAAAACGCTTTTCGAACAAAGGACAGTTTAATCTACTCAACCCTCTTCTTGCCCTCCTCCAAGCCCAGCAGCCTGGCATCGCTCTTGCCTCGCTCGTGCTTTGTGCCCACCAGCGAGCCGACGACCGGGTTGTGCGAGACCTTGGTTAGGCTTGATTGGTAGGCTTCGATCTGGTGTGGTAGGCGATTGAGTTTGGGCCAGTTGACCTGTATGTTATTAGTATGCGTGAAAGCTTGGAGAGAAGGGTGAGGTAAGCACTTACATATAGAGTACCATTAGTCCACATGAAGTTCAAGCAAGCGCCTGCGGTCGCAAGACTGAGAACAAGGAGAAGACGCAGCGGCCAAACAGCTGCGTCAGGCGCTCGTCGAGTGAAGCTGCCAACGAAGATGAAGAAGATGCTTGCAGCGAGGATATAGGGTATCGACTGAATGAAGATGGGTCTTCGGTCGGCGAACAGAAGCTGACCACCAATAGCAGAGTCGCTAGGCAGGTAGTTGCCCAAGAACAGATCGAAAGCGTCCTGCCTCGGTCCGTCACTGAAGTTGTTAAGACAGTATCGTGTAATGGAGTTGTTGAGATCCTGGAGCGCACCGCCCTTGGTTCGAACACCAAGACGCGTGAAATCAGTTTTGAGCGCTCCAGTGCCGGAGTAAGACTTGGAGACGACATCTGCGTTGTCGGCCCAAACATTGCGGAACAGGAACTCAAAAGCCTTGTCCTCTTCTGCACTCTCGCCTTCGCGCATCAGGCCAAGGTCGATGAGCATGCGCGACAAAATGTACCGTCCGATCATGCTCTGCACAACGTTCGTACGGTCAAGGCAGTCCATGCAGTTCGTGCGAACAACAGCAGTCTGGTGGCGCCTGACCTCAACACGGCTGCCATCTCCAGGCATGTCGACAGCCCGGAAGTAGCCGTGCTTCAACACGTGTGGCTCCAGCTGATCCATCAACAGCTTCGCTCGGTCCCAGCGCAGACCCTTGGTCTCGCTGTGGAAGTCGAAGTAGATGTAGTGAAGGCGGTCCCAGATCGTCTGGGCATTTGCAGGCTCGACAATGTGGAACTTCTCATCAGTGATCCTGTCACCTTCCACGTTCTCGTTTGGTGAGGTCAACAAGAAGTTGACCATCTCCTCGTATGCCTCCTTGACTCGCTGCTCGCGGCCCTTCTGATTCACCAGGTTGACCATCCAGTTGTCGCCGTACAGCCTGATCTGCTCAGCGAAATGCTTCTTCGCAGCAGGAATCGCAGACTCAACGCCGCGAACTTGCAACTTCGGCGTGTACTTCAGGGTGTTAATCTCAGCCCAGTAAACAGGCACACTGCCTCGAGTCTGGACGTATGCAAGGACCTGCGTCTCTTTGCCAGGGAGCGCGCCAGCTGTGCCGTTTTGGTTCGACCCAAAGCCTCCAGGTCCACCTGACGCGCTGTCGTTGAGGATGATGGCCTGCTCTGTCTCGTTGAAGTTGGACACGTTGCCGTTCTCGTCGATACCACGCGAGAAGTATCGTGTTCCTGCCTTGAGTCGCGACCTTCGTGTGATGAGGATGAAGGTGAGTGGTGTGCCCTTGATCGAGGTGTTCTTGATCTCCATCATGCCGTACATGACGGGCAAGATGTAGGGGTCGACGTCCGGCGACTGACCGCTCGAGTGCCTTCCATAGCCAGTGCTCAATCCTCCACGAAAGTCGATCAGGTCGCTAGATACGAAGCGGTTCCAGAAGAAGCGGTCGTCTGCGCGCTTCCATAGCGGTGTCGAGGGGTCGAGGTGAGCTTGTCGCTGAAAGCTGTTGGTGATGTCGAAGGAATAGGAGAAGAACAATGGCGATGTCTTGATCAGCGTCTTAAGCAGAGACAGGTAGTTGTCCTCGTCAGGGTCGTGCAGCGGTCGTTCGCGTAGCGGCAGGAATTCAGTAGCAACGACCTTGTAGATCATGTGGCCCTTTATCCTGCCCATAGGCTGGGCCTTGGTGATCACGATAATGTACTTGTCTTGACATGCATCAGCTTGGCTGCTTATAGGAGCTTCGAGGGGTATCTACCCAGTCGCAACTTGATGGTACCAAGGATACCAGCAACGCTAGACACCCGTTTCGATCCCAGAAGCTTGCCATCGTGCAAGCGAATATCACCTGAAGGTCGGTCTACAACTAATGTCGGTGCAGTGGGCGAAGACGGGGAGGAGAAGGCGTAGTGCGAGGGGGATGAGTGCACGTTGATGTCGCGGTACGGCAGAACGGCGCCCATGGCGACGGTTGCTTGAGCAGTCTGTACTGTACAGAAGGCTGCAATGTCGGTACGGTCGAGTTAACGTTCCGGCGTGGGGATTCAAGTGTGGCGCTCTCTATGGGCGTTGGCGCAATGTTCCCTCAACTGCAGCCACGAAGCGTTTCGTCATGGTCCGCCAGGGTCCGTCGCCAAGCAATTGCAACCCCGTCAGGGCAACGACCTTCATCGCTCTTGCACGTTCAACAACACAGCTGACAGACCCGCCCGCACCACCGCCCTCGCTCCCCGCATCTCTACCAAACCCGCCACCCTTCGCTACCACACATCGACTACCGACCACGATCTGGTAGCGCGACGCCAACTTTAGCCCGTCATGTCGCAGAGAGTACAGCAAGGTGGACGCCCTGGCGGTTCCAGGTTCGCACAGTTCAAGCTGGTGCTGCTTGGTATGTCCATGTATCCGTGTGTTGCCGTACTTGTATGTCACTAACAATGCGCAGGTGAATCTGCTGTCGGAAAGGTTCGCAGCCCTATCAAGGCAGCCATGGTACGAGCTAACATACGTGCAGTCGTCGCTGGTATTGCGCTTTGTAAAGGTAAGTCTGCTAAAAGGTATGACCTGATCATTACTGACATGGCGATAGGACCAATTCGACGACTACAGAGAATCGACTATCGGCGCCGCCTTCCTCACCCAGACCATCGCCCTCGACGAGAACACAACAGTAAAGTTTGAGATCTGGGATACTGCCGGCCAGGAGCGCTACAAGTCGCTGGCGCCCATGTACTACAGGAACGCAAACTGCGCTGTCGTCGTCTACGATATCACACAAGCGGTACGCAACGCCTGAGGCATTTGTTCTGGGCAGCTGTTAACGTCACGCAGGCCTCGCTCGATAAGGCGAAAGCATGGGTCAAGGAGCTCCAGCGTCAGGCAAACGAGAACATCATCATCGCCCTTGCTGGTAACAAGCTCGATTTGGTTACCGAGTCCCCCGACAAGCGCGCCATCTCCACCGCCGATGCCGAGCAGTACGCCCGCGAAGCCGGCCTTCTTTTCTTCGAAACATCCGCCAAGACGAGCGAGAACGTACGCGAACTCTTCACCGCCATTGCAAAGAAGCTGCCGCTCGACCAGGCCGGCCCACGGAACCTGAGGCCCGGGCAGCAAAGACAGGGCGTCAACCTCAGGCCGGAGGCGAACCAGACACAGGGACCTGCTGGCTGCAACTGTTAGTGCGAGGTGTTGGTCATTTGATTTGTAGGTATAGCGCTCGTTATGCGACATTCAACAAGGAGCGATACCACGCAGTTGCTCTTTCCTCGTATCAGTCAGTCTGATCTTCACTTGTAGGGTACATTTGGAACCTGGCGTTCCGGCTTTGCTATGCGTTAAGAGATGAGCTCCGGGGCCACCTGACAATTTTAATTATAATGATTTCGTTGCCTCTTTCTATGTTTGTACAGTCAATCCCCTTGCGCCTGAATTCCCACGCTGTTGTCATCCGCGTTTGCAAAGCACACCGTATACCTAATGTTTCGATCTGTTGTACATCCAAAAGCCTTTTTGTCTCTTGTCTCAGCCCACAGCTTGCCTCCAAGTAAACATCCAACTCTCTGGCTTCTCATAAAGCTTCCCCATCTCGCTTACCGTCACATTCCCCTCCTTGTCATTCTCATCCACCTTCTCAGCCCAGGTAGCCGGCTCGCTCGCCATCGTCTTCAAATACATCTTCCCATACCTCCAATGGCGCATGATATCCACGCTTGTCAAGTTCTCGCCAAACTTGAAACTCGACCCCTCGTTCTTGTTCGCGGCGCCGCTGACGGGCATGCACGCTGACCAGGTGTTGGGGTCGCATAGCTTGCCCTTGGTGTGCGCCACGCATTGTGTTGTCCAGCGCCGCGCAGGGACGGGGTGCATCAAAATGATGTTGAACATGGTGCGGGAGAAGTCGCCTGAGTGCGGGGGCGAGGGCATAAAGGCTTCGAAGGCGGTCACCATGAAGTATTGGTCCCGCGGATATGGGCCATTGGGGGTCAGGTTGATAGGCTCTGCGGCGCGGACGTCCAATGTGGTGGAGCTGAGCGTGCTCAGGACGTCCGCGGAGGAGCCGCAGAGAGCGAGAGGCAGGAGAGCTAAAATGGCGGTGGCGAGTTGGAACGCATGGTGGTGTTTGTTGTGGTGTTTGTAGTACTCGCAAGGCTGGGAGGGATCGATGAGAGAAGCTTGATGGGCGTTGAAGGCGCCGCCAGGTTCTGCTTCTTATGCTGCAGGCCCTGCTGCTTCGCCACGGAACGGTTTAGTAGCTGAAGGCTGTACGTGTAATGCGTTGAGGTCGACTTGGTCAGTGGCTGTCAGTGGCTGAGAAACTATATATGCACTCGTGTTGCCTGGCAAGGGTCTCCGCGATAGATACGGCAGTAGATGAGAGCATGTGCGTCGCTCTCAGACCACGTGAGTGCCTGAATATGGGCTGACTCTCATTTGTACCTGAGATCCCCATGGGTTCGTACCTGCTTCGTCTTCGAGAACATGATCTACGGGACAGCCGCGTCGAACATGGCCTGTGACTATGCAGTACGTGCAAAAAAGGTTGCAGTCTCCCATGGTACCCCTAACAACTGGGTCTGGGGTCACACGAGAACCGACGCGATGTTCACGAAAACCGGTACCGTGTCCCTGGGCCACGTGTTGGCCATGCAAGGTACCTGCCCAGGTGAGGCTGACACAGACGTGATTGCCTGTTCTGCGAAGCGTCGGGGTACATGTGTGTCGTTCACGGATGTGACCGGGCGGTATATGGGGATCCTGATGGTCGGTGTCCTCAGTGACTGAGACTTCGTTTACCCGCTTTGCTATGGTGACGCAGTGTACGTTGCCTTGCGTACGCCTGACCCCGTAGAAGACCAATTTTGTGACAGAGGTAAACATCCTGTAGCCTCTAACGACCCTGTGTCGGGCTTCATTGCTCGAGCTGTATATGCAGTGCAACGGGGGTGATTCTCAGGAGCTCGCACGTGGTCTATGCAAGGTATCAGTACCAAAGTGGAGGGACTACCTCTTCGGAAGACAAGGCAGGTACCTGTATAGTGTTTGGCATGACACACATATCGGGTTCCTGCGCTATAGTGTCTTGGGACATGATGGGATTCATCGTTCGATTGTGTTAGCGTATTGGAAGCTGTGCGAGCTCGAGCTTGCTGATGTGTCAGAGTTCAGGGAAAAACTGTACGCAAAGGAACAAGTTGAAGATTGTACTGAGGTTGTATTGAGTGAAGCTACGAACAGTATATATAGGTGAGTAGCTGTAAACAACGCTAGTGTGACGTGGCAGTCACTCTCATGGAGGTGAGGTACGACAGGCAGGAGCACCCCAAATCGTGACATGATGCGGCGACGTGCATACCCCGTCTTCGTGATCTTGCACGAGCTCGTGATGTCTGATGCATGATCGTCTATCGAATCTAATGTTACGAAAGCCACGTCGATACTCTAAGGTTGGATGTATCGTACAGTCACAATGCGGAACCAGAGTCGCTTCAAGGAAAGGCTTGACGTCATCGCCCGACTTCAAAACAAAAGTCTCAGAAGCAATACCACCAGGATGCCGGAACATCATAACAAAAGCCCCTCCCGTCATTTGGGGTCTTCCAAGACTGGCATAATGTAGTCTTTCACCCCCTTAAATCACCCAGAAGACGCAATATGCAGCATCTGCAAAGAAGTATGCGTCGCCAATGACTTTGCGCCTGTCCTCAAGGTCCTCGCCTGCCCCAAGTTTTACTTCCACTCCGAGTGCATCGTAGCCTGGTTCAAATCTACAGATCAACAACGAGGTACGTGTCCCAACGACCGTCGAGGGCTACTCGAACCAGATCCGATCGTTCGTCCTCCACCAGGCGAGGTCCGTCGCCTTATTGGACTGGGTTCTGCACCACTACGGCTGTCGGAGGAGATCAATCGCATAGACCCGTGCATCGCCACGACCATGGAGAATATGCGCGTGCTAGAGCGGCAACTAAAGTCACTCGCTACACAAGGCACTCCTATAATCTCTGTATGGGAGTCTGAGCTACGGCATACAATCGAGTCGAATCTCCGTATCATACGTAGGTATAATCGCACTCCTATGCTCGCTCGTTCGCTCATTATTCGACTTAGTCGGACCATGGTGTACTCCGAGCCCAAATTGCGACAGTTGGAAGATCGGTATGTTGCCGCTGTTACATCAATTCTTGTCGCCCGGCACAAGCAACTGGCAGTATGGGTACAAGTCATCCTCGAGTGTCTACGGGTAAGTCCTGGCAACTTCAAGCCATGCACATGGTGTTTCATCCGGGACATAAAATCTCTGCTTCGTCGTCCTCCTACTGGTCAGGCATACAAAGATTTGCGACAGCTGTCACAGGCTTTGTTGATTAAGGTTCTAACTCTTTCAGTTCACTACGACGTTGTCCTTCGTGAAGAAAATACCGCGATACAAGGAAGCATTTTAGCTACCTTCTTGTTAGAGTACGCACTACACGCATCGTATAGCGATACATGCCTGGAACACCCTGGGGAATCACCATCGGCAGCTCCAATTTCTCCTGTAGAGCACGTTACATATCGCCGTTGAGCTTTCGATCGAGCTTGTAAGTAGTTTCGTTACCACAGTTACTGGTAAGCTCGGTGAAATCTGCCTTAGAATAAATTTGAGAGAGTCTGCATAAGAACTGTGTACACAACGACACATCTGTCTTATACTCACCTGGATAGAAGGAACGCTCAATCGCTCGACGACATGAATAGCCACTAAGGTAATATCGGTGAACTGTTGCCGGTCATTGGTCCATTCGGTTCTACTTAATAGTCGCGCAAGGCTCAAAGCATCAAATAGCCCAGACAGAAAAGTGCCTCCCAGATGACCACAGGTGATTGAGTCTTTCGTCGAACTAACATGATGTCGCGAAGTCCTCGAAACGGGTGGAGCGACATCACGCGATTTTGACGTTATCCTGCCAGCGGTCCAGAGCTCGTATGTCGTGCGCAACCGGGTGTCCTTACACAGTGTAGACTAAACACCGAACAGGAAGGTAGGTGGCCTGAATATGTACTCCACGTCGTCTGTCCGTGTCCTCGGATAAAGTACCTGCAGCAGAGCAGAGGCGAAAGTGGAGTGCAATATTAAGCCGGCGCTAGGACGGACTAGCGCCCAAAAGAGCAGGTGCAAAGCTTGAACACTCTTCATGACGATAACCAAGCCCCGACCAAGCATGTCATTGCCACTAAGAGTATGCGTTCAAGCTTCCATCCGAGAGCTTGGTTGTTCTTGGAAGGTGTGATTGTAGGGTAATCTCCTTCGGCCGTTCCTACAGCAATGCTCGTCACGGAGGGGTTGAGGGCCCGGAAGTACGCTATGGACCCATGATCTTCGAGAGATAAATACTGGTTGAACCCCCTTCGAGAGTTGGTGTGCGTCTGTCAATTTTGTACGCGACCCTTATCGTCCATCATGCAGATCAAGTCCGCTTTCGTGGCTGCGGCCATCCTTGCCTTCTGTGACGCGCTTGCGACTCCCATCCGCGCACGCTCGCCGTACGTTGTGAAGGAGACTCACTTCGTGCCTAAGGAGTGGCAGAAGCAGGATCGTGCCCATGGTGGGAAGACGATCTCGCTCCAGATTGGTCTGAAGCAGGGCCGATTTGAGGAGCTTGACCGTCACCTTCACGAGGGTAAGAACACTCAATGAAGCATGCTGGGATTATCTTAATACTAACTCTGACCAGTCTCTGATCCTGACCATGCTCGCTATGGTCAGCACCTGAGCGCCGAGGAGGTCGATGAGCTCGTTGCACCCACATCGCAGACACACGACCTTGTGCACGAGTGGCTCCAGGAGAACAGCATTGAGATTGAAAACCTGAGCTACAGCACCGCCAAGGACTGGATCACCGTTCATCTGCCAATTGAGTCGGTTGAGAAACTCCTTGATACCGAGTACCACAACTACAAGCACCATGACGGCTCCGTTGTTGCGCGTGCCACATCCTGGTCGCTTCCTCGCCATCTGCACGATCACATTGATGCCATTCAGCCCACCACTTCGTTCTTCCGCGCGGAGAAGAACATCGCTACTTACTTCGAGGGTGGTGCTGAGATTCCTCAGGGCTACCAGGCTCCCTCCAACCAGACCATCGCCGCGGTCTGCAATGCAACCTCTGTCACTCCTCAGTGTTTCGAGACTCTCTACCAAACCAAGGGCTACAAGCCGAAGGCTCTCGACAAGAACAATGTCGCATTCAACAACTTCCTTGGCGAGGTTCCGATCCGCCCTGATGGAAAGCTCTTCTTGCAAAAGTTCCGCCCCGAGTCCGTTGCTCAGGCTGCAAACTTCAAGCAGATCTCCATCGACAACGGCCCAGTCCAGGACGGTCCTTTGACTGCCAACCAGACTGCCGAGGGCACGAGCCGAGAGGCTAACTTGGACTTCCAGGCTATTGCTGGTATCAACTACAATACACCTATCATCAGTTACTCGACTGGTGGCTCGCCCCCGTTCGTCCCGGACATCACCACCCCGACCAACACCAACGAGCCCTACCTTGTGTGGGTGAACTACTTGCTTTCGCAGAAGGACCTTCCCAAGATTGTTTCTACTTCATACGGTGACTCTGAGCAGACCGTTCCCCGCTCATACGCCGAGCGCGTCTGCAAGCAGTTCGCTCAAGCCGGTGCTCGCGGCACCACACTCTTCTTCTCCTCTGGTGACAGTGGTCTCGGTGGCACCGACAAGTGCTACTCCAACGACGGCAAGAACACCTACCGCTTCAACCCCAACTTTCCCGCCTCGTGCCCATACGTCACCGCCGTCGGCGCGACCATGAACTTCGCGCCTGAGGAGGCCGTTTACCGTGCTGGCCGTAACACTTCCACCGGTTACCGTGACTTCTATGCTGGTGGCTCCGGTTTCAGTAACTACTTCGACCGCCCCACATGGCAGGGTAACGCTGTCCCTCAGTACATCAAGGGTCTTGATGGCCTGTACGATGGTTTGTACAACAAGAAGGGTCGCGCGTACCCTGACCTTGCTGCTCAGGGTCTCTACTTCGCTTACTTCTGGAACGGCACCGAGGGCACCATCTCTGGTACTTCTGCCTCCACTCCTCTGACTGCTGGTATCTTCTCTCTCGTCAACGATGCCCTGATTGCTAGCGGCAAGCCTGTTCTTGGTTACATCAACCCCTGGCTCTACAAAAAGGGCTACAAGGGCCTGAACGATATCCTTAAGGGTACAAGCCACGGCTGCAACGTTGATGGTTTCCCCGTTACTGAGGGTTGGGACCCTGTCACCGGTTGGGGAACACCCAACTTCCCTAAGCTCCTGAAGGCCGTTGGCGCGAAGGTTCACTAGGAAGTCTGATTTAGCGAAGCATAGTATTGCGATGGATAAGTGTCGTTTGTACATAACGAAGCTTGTAATTGGGCATGCTTGATGGTATATAGCGACGAATAATGTCAAATCATGAACAACAGATCATATCTAGCGTCCTATGTATCAACTAACACGCACCCTGCAGCTCGCCCCCATGTGTTCGGTATTGAATTCTGGGCTTGAATTTCAGGGGAAATGCAGGTCTTTAGTGGACTGATTGGGGTGCCAACCTGACTCCAGCTGATTACGATTAGTGCAATGCTGGTGCTTAACCGTCAAGTCCTCCGTTGGACGTGGCAACATCTGGGTTGGGATAGTACCAAGATGCGACGGCGATAATGATGTAGACAATCTAGTTTAAGGTCAGATTATGATCATATCCACCATCCAAATTGATTACGACTTACCACAAGAAGAGAACCCTCAAGATAGTTTGACTCGCCATCACGCAAGAAGTTGCCGACTACGACAATGGACAAAACAAGCAAGACGATCATGAAGATCTCGAAGTTGAGATCCATATCCTTTCCCAGTGCCCATCCAACCACCACCACCAAAGGAGCATTGAAGAGTGCAGTCTGGATCGAAGGACCGATGCAGTGGAAGAGAGCAAAGTTCTACCATTTATTAGTTGAGTCCCCAATCGTTGTTTTTTCCAACTTACGATCTGTCCATCCCAAGCTTCATCAATAGCGGTCAGATGCTCTGCGGCTTTTTCGACGAGAGGAAGCATGATCAGACCGAGGAACTGGTCAGGGATACCGGCTTCGACAACATCTTCGATGCGGACGACAAGGAAGACCGCAAGCATGGTCACGATGGCAAGAGACAACACGATGGCGACAATGCACTCCGTGAACGTGAACTTTTGCTTTGCAACATCCTCGTGATGATCAAGATCCGCGTGCTCGTCTGCTTCCAACACCTCGTCGAATATGGAGTGCTGCGAGCGGGCATTGTAGAAGATGAAGCTTGCTCCAATTAGCATGAACCATATCGCACAACATCGGCATAGCTTACATAGCGAAGGCAATCATCAGCAGAATTGATGTGACCTGACTGATCTTGAGGACATTGTGCTGTAGAATCTTCTCAGTGAACTCGTGGTGCTTGGTGGCTTTGTGAACAGCGGATCCCTTCAAGGCGGAATAGTAGGCGCTGGGAATGAGCAGACCAAAACCAGCGACCAGAAGCAGACCGCTACCAACTTCGCTAATAGAAGCGTGGAACTTTTGTCTCGCCTGACGCAGACCGCCAACAAAGAAGCAAAGTCCAAGACATAGCAACAGGTTGGTCAAGATCGAGCCCAAGATAGCGGCTTGAATGACGGGAATGAGATTGCCATGCTCAGAGGAGCCTTCTGATGCCGTGTGCTTCGCAATCAGGATGATGAACAGGATGATTTCAACAATTGACCCAAACGCCGTCTCAATGAGGATGCCAGACACCTTGGGCATCTTTCGCGCATACTCCTGACCAGCGAAACCGAGCAGATTTGCAACTGGAATCATCGCGATGTAGCTGAGCGCGAAAATAGTAAGCGGGTTGCTGGGAAAGGCGAAGTGCAAGATGAAGGCTACAGGTACGACAGGCCAAAGAAAATTGGTCCATTTTGCTGCATTACTGCCAGATCTCCAGGCCACACTGGCGAAGTGCGAAGCTTGAAAACCAGTGCGACCGCTCTCTCCATCTGGGTGGATGTGTTGGGGCACGATGTGGTGAAGGAGAGGTGTCGATTCGGAGATGTGGTGATTGGAAGGCATCTTGCCTGAGGTCGAATCGTCAGTTCGATCTCAATAGCGCGTAGCAGCCAGAGTTTTGAGGTGAAGCAAATGTTGTGGAAGGCTAGCGGAGGGGAAAGCGCGCTGGCCAAGCCCTCAGCCTCCTTCCAAGACACCAAAACAGGGAAAGCACGATGCTCTTTGGCGTCACAAATCATCACCAAACGCCAATATCCGTCGCGAAAGTCATCGTGAAAACCATCGCGATAGCCGGTAAAGGCAAACCTTCCGATGCGCGACATCACGCCTTTGTCGCGAACCCCTCTCGGCATCCGGAACGATGTTGGCCCAAGATGCCCCGCCATCTTCCTTGCCTGACGCCTCCGGTACCTTGCAGATTATCTGGGGTTGTCTCAATTGATTGGTTTAACGTCCTATGTCCGGGTTTGTGTCCACATGCAGCACTATAGACGGTAAATTAATGAGCCAGCAATAGGGTCAATGAGGTGACCGTATGGTGAAATGATGATCCCTCCATCGTGCCGCTCGCCCTCAGCGCACCGGCAATGTATAAGAGGCAACTGTTAACCAGGTTGCGGGACTCACAGACCCCAGGGATCCTGCCTAGTATCAGAGATCCATCATGAGGTTCTTACCATTTCTTTTCGGCACCCTGGCCGTGCTGCTGAGGGTGTTCGCTACCGACAATGGCCTCCAGACAGTTGTCGAATGGGACAACGGCTCCTTGCAAGTCAATGGGGAGCGCGTCATTGTCATGAGTGGCGAGTTTCATTACGCTCGTCTACCAGTTCCAGAGTTGTGGCTCGATATCTTCCAGAAATTTAGGGCCAATGGCATGAACACCGTCTCGATCTACTTCTTCTGGAGCTACCACTCTGCATCAAAGGGAGTGTACGATTTCACCACTCCAGGAAAGGACCTACAGCGTCTTTTCGATGCCGCCAAGGAAGCTGGACTTTACGTTATTGCAAGGCCTGGTCCGTACATGAACGCTGAAACCAACGGTGGTGGGTTCGCCCTTTGGACCAGCGACGGAAGCGGTGGCAACTACAGAACGTCCGATGAGACCTACCGAAAGGCTTGGTCAGAGTGGATTGCGGAAGTCGGCCCCATCATCGCAAAGAATCAGATCACCAATGGCGGCCCTGTCATCTTGACTCAAGTTGAGAACGAATTGATACAGTCGAAGTATGACCCCAACGACACTCTGGTTATCTACATGGAGCAGATCAAGAAGGCCTTCAAGGATGCAGGTCTTATTGTGCCTACGACACACAACGAGAAGGGCTTCCGAGGCAAGAGTTGGTCGACTGACTACAATAACGTTGGCGGTGCTGTGGACATTTATGGCCTTGACAGCTACGCAGGCGGCTTGAGCTGCACCAATCCCAACACCGGTGGAAACGTTATTCGCACCTACTACCAATGGTTCCAGGAAGTATCACCTACCCAGCCGGCGTATGTACCTGAGTTTCGTGGTGGATGGTTTCAGGCGTGGGGCGAACATTTCTTCGATGAATGTCAGTCAGATCTCAGCCCGGAGTATCCCGACGTATTCTATAAGGACGTCATTGCTCAGCGGATTACACTCCTGAACCTCTACATGACTTACGGTGGAACCAATTGGGGCCATCTGGCAGCGCCCGTGGTAAGTCTATCTCAAGTTAAAATCATGATACTTGGCTGAGATCAATAGGTGTACACTTCTTATGATTACGATGCGTCAATTCGCGAGACTCGTGAGGTCCGCGACAAGTACAAGCAGTACAAACTAATCTCATTGTTTACTCGGGTCAGCAAGGGTCTCCACAACACCGTCATGGAGAGCAATGGAACTGGAAACGCGGTTAGCACCACGGATGTATTCACTTGGGTACTCAAGAGCAAGGGTAGTGATGGCAGATTCTACCTTACTGAAAAGAACGACACCAGGTCCAGGACTGTGACTGACTTCTCCCTGACTGTCGACACATCGGTCGGTCCAGTGACAATCCCGAGCCTCCAGCTAAATGGCAGGCAAGCCCGATGGGTGGTCACTGACTATGCGGTTGGAAATGAGACTTTTCTGTACTCATCTGCTGAAGTTCTAACCTACGGAACTTTCGATCATCCCGTTGTAGTACTCTACTTGAAGGCTGGTCAGACCGGAGAGTTCGCTTTCAAGTCGCAAAATAACATCACCTTCAAGGCATATGGCGCAGACTCAGGCTTCGCGACTACCCCTAGCAACAGCTCAAGCTTTGTCAGCTTCAAATACAAGCAAGCTAAGGGAGCCACCGTCGTGCAGCTTTCTAACGGCGTGCTAGCCTACCTGTTGGACGTGCCTACGGCGTGGACGTTCTTCGCTCCTCCCACTACAACGGATCCGAACGTCACTCCAGACCATCACATCTTCGTAATTGGTCCCTACCTCGTCCGAACAGCAAGCGTATCTGGCGATACCGTATCTGTCATCGGCGACAACGCCAATGCCACCACAATTGAAGTTTATGCTGGCAAAAATATCGCGAAGATCTCATGGAATGGCAAGGACTTAACGACCTCCAAGACACCCTATGGTAGTCTTACTGCTGAGATCACGGGCGCTCAAGATCGCAAGATCGAGCTTCCTGAGTTGACAGGCTTCAAGGCTGCCGACTCGGCACCAGAGATCTCACCATCTTATGATGATAGCAACTGGGTCGTGGCGAACAAGAACACGACGCTGAACAAGGTCAAGCCGTTGACCCTACCAGTGCTGTACAGCAGTGACTATAAGTTCTATGCTGGCGCCAAGGTTTATCGTGGATACTTTTCCGACAAGAGCGCTGCATCCTTGAACATCACAGTGCAAGGTGGCGCTGCAGCAGGCTGGAACGCTTGGCTCAACGGACAGTCGATTGGCTACAACCCTGGAAATGGTACGCTATGGGTGACCAACGCAGTTGTTCCCTTCAAAAACGTCACTTTGAAGGACGAAGGGAATGTTCTAACAGTCGTGACGGACTACACTGGCCATGATCAAACATCCTATGGACCCTCCGGTGCGCAGAACCCAAGAGGCATTCTCGGGGCGCAGCTTCTCAGCGCCAACAACACGAAGCTGAACTTCGATCTCTGGAAAATTCAAGGTAACGCTGGTGGCGAGAAGAACATTGACCCCGTTCGTGGGCCTTTGAACGAGGGCGGACTGTACGGAGAACGCCTTGGCTGGCACCTGCCTGGATTCGACACCGAGAGCTGGGAAATTGCGAGTCCGACCGAAGACGGTGTACAGGGAGCAGGCATCAAGTGGTTCACGACGAAGTTTGATCTCAATGTCGACAAGGACCTTGATGTTCCCATCGGTGTTGAGTTCGGTGCCGCTGTTGGTACGGTTGCTAGAGTGCAACTATATGTCAACGGGTAAGACCAGCAAGGCCTGAAATTTACACATAAGCTAACAGACGTGGCAGCTACCAGTATGGCAAGTACTTCCCGCACATCGGCCCTCAGACACGCTTCCCGATCCCACCAGGTATTCTCAACTTGCAGGGCTCAAATACATTGAGTGTTTCAGTGTGGGCGCAGACGGATGCAGGCGCGAAGCTTAGTACATTGCGCTTAGTCTCGTACGCTATCTATGAGAGCGGATTCGACTTCGCCGGGATTGATGGGGAGCAGCTGCAACCGAGCTGGAAAGACCGATTTCAGTACGCGTAGGATGTTGCTCAAGAGCATTAGCTATCTGACTAGATACGAACTGATCCTTCAAACATCCAAATATCTCCCACAGTATTTAGTATTTACACAAGACCACCAACCACCGAACACACGACACGCGTTCGGCCAATGACTTTGTTCGGTTTTGCCAATTGACGCGCCAAGCCGGTGGCACTACGGTACCGGCTTGGTCTTGTCAAATTGTCACAACTTCCATTATCAAGTCGCGACTACCAGCCACTACGGTCCTCGCTTCTCTATGTTGACTGAACAAGGCAATCCGTGCATAGATGAATCACACGCGAAACCTCAGACTCCATCACCTCACATTCTAAGCCGGTATCTTCCCGAGCAGATCATTGTTGGGCGGGCCTAATCACAGCGCTAAGACCATCGTTATTGGCGGCCAACACATGACAGCTGCCAAGTACGAACTTATTGAACCAGCGTAACCTTACAATAACAGCTAAACTCAGCATCGAACCCTTGATTTCAGAATCTCAACAGTCAGCCCAGTCATCACAACACCAAAATGGACCTGTTACGTTTACCATCGGTCACCCGTCTCGCGACTCTGTCACTACTAACACTGACCTTCGCTCAAAACAACATAAACACGACGGACATTAATTCGGACCAATCTGCCCTCAATTTCGATTCTAATGCGCCGATCAATGCCACAGGCAGCCTCAACTTACACTGGACCGCACTTATGATGGATCCCGCACGGAATGACTGGACCTTTACACTCACCTACAATGAGACCCGAAACCAGAATGGGACAACACACCGTTGGGAAAGCTACATGAGTGTTCCTGAGATTAGCGAAGCAAAGGCCTGTACATTCATGCTCGCCGGACTCAATAAAACTTCAGCATCGGCACAGCGAAATGGTTGCGACGGCGTGTTGGACGATGTGTGTACCGACGTTCTGCGCGGGATCTCATGGAGCGGCGATCGGTGTAGTTTCCCATTCCCGGATTCAGAGTACAGTGATAGGGTTCTCCAAGCGTGTGGCGTTGAGATCCTCGAGAGAAATGTGTGCTATAACAGTAAACACCTCCCACGTCCTTGCAGTATCTGCCGATAATGGGACTGACGATCGTCACAGCCTACCCGATAGATTTCTCGAAAAGTACATGCAGTAGGTCACATCCTCCAGGATCTTCTTCGCCAGAGAACTGGCGCACTTTCGGGATGACTGGGATGCCTATCGACTGGGTCAATGTGAACAGTGATAGGAACACATCTGACTTCACATGGTACGACACCTTTGTGAAGCAGACTGTTCCGTTTGTCGTTGCCATGGAATTCTTGGGTGGTATTGCTGAGACGCAGGTCTTGTGTGTAGCGCCAAAGAATATCGCCGAGGGGAGTCGAGTGCCCGCGCAGAAATCCATGGCGAGTGAGAGGTGGCGGCCAACGAGCTGGATGGCTACAGCCGCTGCATTATATGCTAGTACGGTAGTTATGTTGACTTAGTGTAAGGACAATGAGACAGTATGTGAAGATGACATTGGCTGATAAAAACAGATAGTCTACACTGAACCAGAATTGATACTCCACTTGTTACTTAATCCTGCTTCTCTGTCCAAACACCCTCATTGCCCCGCTACTCTAACATTCAATGCACACATCAGACATTAGCATAGTCGACCTTCCAGCCTCCAGGCATGAAGTATGGAAACACCTCATTCGGATCGTACTCCTCACAAATCTCCTTCAACTTCTCCGCGCTTTCGCTTCCCTAACTCTCAAACACCGTCTGCCCTTTACCCGCATCATTCAGGTAGATACATCTATTCAAGCCATCGACTGCCTCCAGCTTGCCCTCAATGTCAACATCCACGCTCTTGACCCACTTCTCCACCTCCTGATCAAACTCCCCTCCGCTGCCCCAAGTAACACTATCTTCGAACCCAAAACGCCGGCTCAAGGGGCAAGTTCTGCGGCAGCCTGAGGACTTTTCGGCCATATTGCGGTTCACAACGTTGAACGCCAGACCGGAGAAGAATCCCAGGACCTTGTTCGCAAGACACGATGCAGAAAGCGAAGCGAAATACCTATCATGCACAATATTGAGAGCCTCTGCGGTCGCTTTGATGGAAACAACGCGAAACTTCTGGCGCAGACCGTAGGACTGTCTGCCCTCCTTGATAGTTGAGCGCATCGCGACACTGTATTATGCGAGGGAGATGGGGCGCAGTGTTGAGGTGCCATTTAGTGCTCTCAGACCCGTTGTGTTATGTTGGAGGAAATCAGCGAATGGACCGGAGGATGGTGCAAACGTGCCGTTGTAGAAGAGTGTGCTTTCGTACGAGGGTGCGGTGTAGTTGGGTCCCCAGCAGACGACAGGGATTGTTATTGCGGCGAGGTCTTCGTCGTTGTGAAGGGCCATGCTGAGGACGGTGGCGAGGTAGGCGTCTCGAGTTGCGTTGGTGGAGCCGTAGTGCGCATCTGCGAGAAGGGGTGTGATGGATGGGAAGGTTTGAGGGACTAAGCGGGTGATCAAGGCGAAGGAGTTTCCGCCGCCGCCGAGTGCCCAGTAGAGGTCGGAGTAGCTGTTGTTGGCGGTTATGGTGGCAATAGTACCATCCGCAAGGACAGCCTAGGGTGTGTCAGTATCGTTACCCGGAGTTGCAGTTCTCTCAAGACATACCTCATAAGCCTTGATCTTTCCACCAGAAGAGGCTAGCCCATGCTTGACACTTTACCAACTGATTCCACCACCAAGAAGCAGGTCAGGAACACCTACAGCCTCCAAACAGCCTCCAATTACAGTTTGTTCGGGAACTCGAGCTAGTTGAACACATCACCCCACCTCGGGCCTGGTCCGATACTCATTGTCTCCTTGCCGTCGGACAGCTTCAGGGTGTTCAAGTTGGTGTTCGAGATCAGAACTCCGGTACTGTTGATGTTGCAGCATCTGATATGAGCATGTCTCTTCCGCCACGCATAGCGAAATGAGTTGAGCTATTAACGAGAGTCTTGACCGTAAAAGAGAGCAATGTTGCGCATGTTGGTGCAAATACACATGCTGGACCGAGCCAGGCAGTGGAGTCCCAGAAGACTACGTGTGCGTAAGCTCCGTTACTCATGCTTTGTTTGTCTTTTCAACTGACCTTGATTCTCATCAGTGTAGCCTGCGTCCTCCGGAATGTAGGTGATATTAGGGTAGTATTTCGCATGCAGTCACCGGATCAGGAACATTGTAAGAAGTCGACGATTGGAAAGCTGAGACTGAAACAACTAGTACGAAAGGGGGACAGCTCTTGATGGTGAGGATGTGCAAGTCATCGATAGTGTCGTGGCTGGTGTACATCATTTGATCGGCCTTTGCATGATGGGAACGAAGACTGCAAAGAAAGGAGTGTACGCGAGCTCTACGGCAGCAAGGCAGAGAAGAGGTCAAGACTGTTTGTGAACGATCATGGCAGCTTTACAGTCTTCGGTCTTGCCTCTTTGGCTTCGAGCTCTGTTCGAAGAGAGGTGGCACCGAGTTCCTCGCGATACGCGTATATATCCATCTCCGTCACCTTCTCGTTGGGCAGCTCAGCATAAAGTTCGTATGGGTTGTCCCTGAATCTCTTCCGCTTCCTAAGCAAAAACAGCGTCAGCACGACCGCAGCAAGGATAACGGCGAAGCAGCCTATCGAGATGCCGGCTATGGCTTCTGCACCAAGTGAGGGGTTTGCGTCTGCTTCGATATGGACCTGACTGATAGCTTTTGGCGAGGATGTTGCTGAGGAGAAAATGGAGGTTGAGGCAGATGCGGATGTGGACAATGATATCGATGCGGCAGCAGAGGTTGACGTTTCGATCTTTCTTCTGTCAGCACGGGGTCATATCTTGAGCAGGAGCGTCAGTGAATACCTCAAAATTGGCGACTTCTCCATAGGAGTATTTATCCATGTCCATTGGATTCCGTGGGCTTCATTGCTGCCAGCAAAGGAAGATGCACTCGTGTGGTATGGAACCAACCTACCTAGGGTTGCTTGAGATCTCCTACACACTACCAAGCTTGCTGGGAGACATTGCTGGCATCTTGTTCGTAGTTGTCAACGCCAAATAGCTGCTGTTGCCTGAAAGCCCATTTGTAAAGTGCCAGCCCTTGCTGTCCTTCGTGATGCTCCACTGCTGCCCAGGAGAGCCACTCCTCTCCATCAAGATCGGCACAGCCCTATCGTCTTGCGTGAGGCCAAGGTATAAGGAGGGTTGGTCGGGATTTCGGTGAAGTAACGGCCTTGCTGATAGAAAAGCTGCCAATTCTCGGACTAGAGGGCCGTGTATGTGTTCATGGTAACACCGCCGTTCGTCCATAAGTACCCTGCGCTGAGGGTACGATTGACAGTTACTGTGTTTTGAAGTGTGTAGAAGGTTTTCGAGTCGAAGTCAGATATGGCCTCACGAGGAGGTGCTCCATGATCAGTAAGGTATGGCAGGAGCTCGGGAGGCGCAGGGCAGTTGGTGTGAAGGGAGAGGATGAAAGTCAAATTGCAGGCCAGCGACCGAGACTATGACTGCGATTGCATAAACAGGCTGAAGCTGCGAGTATCTGAGCAGGCTGGCCAAGCTGGTCGACGCGGACATTGCATAGGTGTTATTGCCCAATATAAAGCGGACAACATCCCCGCAAAATTGGTGGCTTCGGCTTTGCATACCTGCTGTAGGATATAAGGCTAAAGCCAACTCGGCAGTTTGCAAGCAAGCCCAGTATTGTAGAGTCTGGATCACGTGCACAAGGTGAGATGTATCTGCATTGAGGGCCGGAGGTTGAGTTACGAACGTGTTGATATTTCTACAAGTGTATGATGCTCAGAGCCCTCCACATGCAGTGTCCTGTACAGCTAGCACCCAGATCTTCGTACTGATACAAGCTTTCTTACAACGCTGGAGCCATGCAGTGTCACCGACCTAAGCCTTCTTCCGCCCCAAAATGTTTATACAATGGTGAACGTCTTCTTGATCTTGCTTCTCCTCTACCACACCCTGCACAGCGCCATACCGCCTAGCTGCCTCTCCACACATTCGCGCGCCTCCAAGATACCCCGATCGGTTGTGAGGAACATGCACTCTCCCGGATGTGTGAGTCCCTTTACATAGCTCGACTCTCGTGTCCTCGTGATCTTGCCCAGGTCCTGTGAAGTGAGCCATATCCGTCTTGTCGGCTTCGATACCAGCTTCATGTTCTTCAGCACTGGCTCGTTGTTCCAGTACTTCAAGCCGAGCCAGAGCCTTCGCCTCGCAGGGTTTTGAGGTACGCTGACGCTATCAATCTTCTCTCTGCCCAATGCCAGCTCTGTCTTTTCTCCGCCGCCGACGTTGAATGCCTGCCATGGCTCATCCTTGAGTTTCTGTGCCATGTGTTCTAATTCCTCTGGGTCGGGCTGCGATTGCAAGATAAATGGTTTCGGTGGTGAGACGCCGCCGAGGGTTACGGATGAGAGAAAGCCTTCACGTTGCAGGCCAAGGACCAGATTTACGTGCAGCTTCGACACGGGGATCGATGTGAGACCGAGGCGAGCTTTTGATGCATTTTGCAGATGTGAGCACACATGTGCAAGGTTTACGAGCGACATGTTGGCGGTGTTGATGCGATGAAAGCCCTCGAGGGGCTGCGGCGAAATCGAAGGGGGTCCCGCGATGGTCGCGCTATCGAATGAGTGTGTTCGTGGTGATGCAGGCCGTATGTTGTGCTGCAATTGCGCGCGCTGTCGTCGATGGATGCTCGTCAGTAAATTTCTCGGAGTCGCGGCCATTCCGGCGGAAGAGCGTCCAAGCTCGACCTCCGTCCACTGGCGCTTGCCATGGCTCTAAGAACGAGGGCGCTTCGAGGACCAATACCACCCTCAACCTCACAACGGCTCCAGTATCCTAGCGTGCTCATGCTGAGACGCTTCTATATATTCCTTAACCTCCTGTCGTGACTTTCGCATGCTAACCTCTCTTGCTTTGCTTTGCAGCCTTGTGAACGTGTGATATCCTGGATAAATAGTGTCATTAGAGCGCTGACAGGTTAACACCTCATACATCAGCACAATGCCTCCACAGCAGGGCGAGGTGTCCTTGACGACGCTGTAAGCCACTCTTTCCACCATGAGCTACAATGAATCCTGACACCACGACAGCTTCGCAGACATCCATTACTACTTCTCCCCACCTACCCACCAGCCCCCGCACCACCGATTCGAAAAGAGCTCCTATGTCTACCTCTACCATAACCCTATGCGTCAGAGTGGGCGCATAGAGATTGCGAACAATCCTGGAAAACCAAACCAGGATGCGTTCGCCGGTCGTAAGTCCTCATCTCAAGGTACCATCCAATAAAGGCCTGAGCTGATCTCGGTTATCATTCAGAGTTGGATGTTGTGAAGGTCGAGCAAAGTTACAAGCATCCATGTTTGTTTACCTTGACTGTCGATGCGTTTCGCGGCCAGCATGGCAGTCCAGCCTCATCGCCTCAGCAAGACATGTCCCAATGGCACCTTCCTGTACCGGACCCAAACAACCAGGGCAAGTACATGTACAGGCTACATACTGTGGACATCTACCTGTGGACACCAAATGATGCAAGCATGTTCTTGGATTCGCTGCGGAGGGTCATGCAACCACATCAACTTCAGATCATCGCAGACCCCCAGGCTATCTCACCTACATCAGCGCATCACGAGCACAAGAACGACACAATGAGCCCAGTGATTGCGAATCTCGAAAGAGCTGCGATATCACACCAGAGCCGCACTCCCAGCATCAGCCCCACACAAGCTTTTCCTGGTCCGCCACAAGCCGCATTCCCTGGTCCGCCAGGTGCTCGTGCCTCGACCGCAAGCCCTTCAGCAGCAGAACCAGGCTACGCTCCAATGGCCTACAACCCTGCTGCACCAGCTGCACCAGAACCCATCGCTCACCGCGAGAAAACACCGCCACCACCGGACGCGGCGGAGGGGACTGGTCTAGTCGGAGCAGCTGTACATGACTCGCAGCCTCAGCAATACAGCAATCCCCTGCAGACCTCTTTCACCCCTCAACAAACTTCTGGACCATACATGCCTGGGCCTGCACCTGGTCAGGGATTCAGTGGTCCGCCAGGTGTACAGCGTACAAATACAGCTGGCTCGATGCCTCCTCCACCTCAAAGCCCCCCATCATTTGCAGGGCCGCCTCAATCTGCACCTCCAGCAGATCCGTACGGACAGATCAGCCCACAGCAACCTGGGATACAGCGACAATCATCTATCCCTGTTCAGCAGTATGCTGGCTATAGTGGTTCGCCTGGCTACAATGCCGGCCTTCAATCTCCTGGTTTGCCCTCGCCAGGTCTGCACCAGCCACAGCACTACCTGGGTTATGGACAGCACCAGTACGGTAGCACTTCACAACAGACGCCAGGAACAGATCCAGCCGACTTGCATAAGCAGTTCTACCGCCCAACTGAACACGAAGCTGGTGTTACAGATCACAGCACCGCGACAACACCCAACTCAAATATGGGAAAGAGGGTAGTGAAAGTTGAAAAGGGCGTTGGTCGTTTCCTGAAAAAGCTTGACAGTAAGTGGTGAGCGTAGCAAGCATTTATCATGCGATTTAGCCGGCGAGCGATCTTTAGAACATATACCCACTCGTTCAAACTGTTGTACACATCATCACGAATCTGCGTGCAGGAACAGGTAATGACCCCAATGTAAGACGCGATCACCGAGCGCCGCAGTGCCAATCAAAGGACCACGCTAGTACGCGGAAGCTGGCCCTAGCTTAGGCCCCAGAATAGCAGCAGGTTTTTGGAGATGACATGTGCGTGTTGCCTTCCTGCCGCTGATGTGAGCGTTCGAGGTCTCATAGTAGCAAAGAATGGCGATGTATACGAAGACAAACACAGCATTTGCTGAGATTTTGCATTACGGTGATCGAGTTTGTTGAATGTCGAGGTGCCGTCGCTCATCTTGCACCGCCCCAGCCACAGTTCGGGTTGATCCACCATCAGCCCTGCATCTTGCATCCTGGGCCTCAGCCTGTGCCAAGGGAAGTTCTAGGCTGAGCTGCGCCTGGATGCTGCTCACAGCTCCTCTCTTCTCCACAGTCCACGTACCTTTCCACGCAGCCGCAACGTTGAAGCGTAATTGGATTGTCCTTCGCATTTGTTTGAACGTTGTAGTGAATCGATTTGACACCCGCTAGTGCGTCTCAGTGCCGAGGAACCAGCGGCCGAGAGCTCCACTTACTCCAGACGGTGATCTCATTTTCCAAACAATCTCCAGGACGAATTTTGGGTTGAAGGGTATTTTGACAGTTGACATCGAACTGCCACCCAGCGCAGGGCAGTCGAAGGTGCAATGCGGTTACCCGCGCTAGACGCGAGGGCAGGAGTCCTCGAGAGGAGTAAAACGTCCAAACAAAGCAAGAGCATCATCGTTGTATGTCCCAGGCCTCCACCTGCTGAGCGCACGCCGCGCATCCTTCTCAAGTGGCCAAGGTTCTGACACATCGCGTAGATAGCAATCATTGTCATAGCAGTATTCGCAATCCTCGTCACAACATACCTCCTTACCCTCCGGTTCCGCCGGCCGTTCTCCGCAATACGCAACACAGACAAGTCGAGCGACAAACTACCCTCGTTATTCTCCTGGAAGAACCCATTCAGACGAAACCGCCATGCGTACTCGACTAGCTTACAGGATACCGAGTACCGGGGAAATAGCGTCAGCGACAGCACGCGCGACCGCGAGATGAGTGGGGCGAACGAGCCTGAGAGGCAATCTGGCACAGCAGGAGTGGACAGGAATACGTCGGTACGCAGTGTCATGACATTGCCAGCATACTCACACTCCGTACGAGAAAATGAGCGGGTGCTGGGGCGAGAAGGCGAGAGAGCAGGCATGGACAATGTGGTTGAGTTGCCGGAAACCGCGGACGACGAGGAAGCACAGCGTAACGAGGAGATGGAGTCGTTGTACCAGATTCGTTTGGCACGACGAGCAGAAGCAACGGAACGCGAAGCAAGACGACAGGCCAGGCGCGAAGCCCGCCAAAGAGGCGATCACATTGCACTCGCAGAGATTCGCCGTAGAGCCGAGGAAGCCGCCGACCTCTCTGTCTCCCAGATGCTCATCGCTGAGCACCAGAGCCGCAATCGCGATCGACGAGTCTCTTCTGTAGCCTACGGCGACCTGGGTGTAGCGCGACACGACGGCACCCGTCTGCGTGCCAACTCGCACGACAGCGACAACCGACCGCTCCTCGACAGTGCCGCTTCTATCTCAGGGATCAGCGGTCGATCGCGGGGCTTCACCAACAACTCCACGAACACACTCGACACACACCACCGCGGTCTGTCCATAACCTCGACCTCTCGGTCATCCGTCGATTCGCGCGCATCTAACGAGCTCGACTTCCCGCAAGCCGTGCAGACTCGCTCGAATTCAAGCAACAACAACGACGCCGGCAACGGCTTCCAGGCAGTAGCTACGGGTCAAGACAGGAGTAGGGGCGCAACGCCGAGCCCAGATATCCCCAACGAGGAGGCACCTGCCTACGAAGATCCACCAGACTACACAAGCCCGGTCGAGAGAAATGCCCCTCAGTTACCAGGACTGCCCACTCTCGAGCGACTGCCGAGCATTCGCGTAGTCACCACAGAGCCCACACCGATCGATCCGAATCCACCATCGTCGTTCTCGTGATCTGCAAGATATTCAAATTTACACGCCATTTAGCGCCTCACACTTCTCATCATTTAGCGGTATATATTACAATTACTTAGATTGACGGATGAGATCATGACAGCATAGCAGAGGGTAGCAATGGCTACCCATTCTGGACAGCATTAGACGCATATATGGTCATATACACGGTCTTGCGTAGCCAGCAGTTGGACACAACAATGTCTAATATCATCACTCACATTGCACGCATATCCCATCATCTTTGATCACTTAGAATCGCTGCATCAAACGCTGTACAGTACGAATGAGAGAAAGCATGAAATGCTAACAGAAGATTCAGGAAAAGCTATATGAAAGAGAAACGCCTTAATCCAGCCCGCACGCCGAAGAACAACCCCGTACCGATGCACGCCAACAGAGGCACACCATACAGGCCCAGACCAATCAAGATTCCTTGCTCGAAGTACCCGATCGCGATCCATTCCGCCCGCTTTTTCTCCTTGATCTCTTGTGTGGCCTTGGTGAGCGCCTCAGCCGCTACTTTCCTCGATTCCTTGCCACTAAGCACCTTGGCACGCGCAGCGTGCGAGTTCGTAGGTGTGATGAACGCGGGTGATGCGCGTGTGAACTGTGTTTTTGTGTATCGCGCATAGATGTCAATGGTGTGAAACGCTGGTGCTGCTGGACCCAGAAGCAGGCGGTAGGGGATGTGGTTTACCAATGATACATCGGCTTTGATGAACTGGCTGAGATACTTTCCAGCTGAGGGTGTGCCGAAGTAGTATCCTGCCAGCAGACCAGACGCTGACTCGGGATCTTCGTCAATCAGGCTGATAGCATGTTCGAGTGAAGTGATCGCCGACACGGCGAAGATTGGCTGGCTAGCTTTCGCTGGCAAAATAGAGAGGTTGGAGAGGTCGACGATGGCACCGTTGGAGCCTTGTGTTACCACGTTCGACCGCCATGACTTGCTGCTCTCCAGGGACTTCAAGGCTTCTGATGTTCTCAAGCCCTTTTCCTGTCCACCCAGTGTTGGCGACTTGGGCGAGCCATTTGATACCACCTCATCCGAGGAAGCAAGGTATGGGATTGCAAACTTAATAACATGCTCCAGAAACTCTTTCTTCACGTACTCGTTGACGAATACAAGATCAGGCGCATATGGCGAACTGCCACCGAACGCAAAACGCGCTGTGACCAGGTGTTCAGCGGCAGAAACGAGATCAGCTGTGCGATCTACGATGGCGATGACTTTGTTGTGGGGGGAAACAAGTTGTGTGTAGGTCGGTTGCTGAACTCGTGTCTCCTGGAGGACTTGCAGACACGTTGCCAGCGCCTCCTGTAAAGGCGCAGAAGTGATGACGGCGAAAGTGTCCAATTCAAGGGCTTGAGAGAGGTGGGAGCGCAGAAGCGAAGGAAGGGCACGGAGGTTGTTGTCGAGCTATCGTCTCATCAGCATTGGGCCTTCACCATCAAGGCTCTGGAGAGAAGAGCTCACCTTCAGCGCAACACAATTCCCGGCAGCCAACGCCGCGCTCAGCGCCGCAATCGCCGAGAAGAAGGGCGTGTGATTCTGCTGCGGTTCGATGTACACCACACCCCACGGTTCGGTCTGATCGCCCGCGTTTTTGCCATTCGCAACTCGGTACTCTTCTTCAAGTTCTTTCGCTGGGTTTATCGAGCTGTAGTGCTCCTTCACGAGCTCCAAGGAAAGCGCGACTTCGGTTGCTGCTTCCTGCTCTGACACGAGGGTATCTGACTTGATGGCATCTTTGATCGTGTTGCCGTCCTGACGCAGTACGTCGTGGAGCGATTTGAGTTGTTTTTGGCGGAAGAAGGGGTTGTGGCAACGCGCTGTTAGGGCGGTTGCTTGCAGTTGTGCGATTGTTGAGTCTGCCATTGTGAAATATGGGATTGAGAAAATTGATCAAAAGAACAAAATTTGCAGAAGAGAAACCTAAACTTCCAGATGTTAAGCTCCAGATCCGTCATACATACCCCGGAAGTCAGCTGTCTCCTACTGGTGAAGACTTTCGGAACGTTCACCCCCCACATCGGGACCCGTGAGGTTTCAAGCCATCCCCAGCTTTCTCCGCGCCCCACTGGCGCCGAAAACCGAGTGAGCGACTTGTAATTGTACGAGTCCACAGTTTCTCACCTTGTTCCCAAATCTGCATGTTGCAGCCTACTCTCCCCATACCCTCCGCCAGCAACACCCACATTCACAGCAGCAACCATGTCCGTAACCACGACCTCCAACCCCATAACCTACGCCTCCGCCGCCGTACTCAGAGACTACGAGCTCACCCATTCCTCATCCGACGATTCGCTCGACACGAGTCTCAACGCACATCCAGCTCCATCATCACAATCGAATAACCCCGCAGACTGGCCCACAGAGCATCGCCGTGTCCCGGCGTACCGGCCGGTGAATACGGAGCTTGATCAGAGTGAGAGACGAGTTTATCAGAATCCGATTGAGAGGGTGTTTATTGGGACGATGTTTACTGGCGTGTTTTTGCAGTCGGTGAGTAGACTAACTTTCGTATTGGAGAAGAGCGGATGTGCTGACGAACGCGAAGACAGCATCAAAGGTATGGCGCGCGACTGCTGGGAGAGTTTGGGATGTGGGTTACAAGCTTGGTGGAGAGTGGTGAGGGAGGATCGAGGCTTGTAGGGATGGATGGCTTCGTGAGCAAGTTCGTATAGGCTTGTTGATGGGTTGGGTAGCAGACCATGGGAGCATAATCTCACGGGCGCATATATCTTTAAATTCGTAACAGCCTGCCAGTACCATGTTTGTTCGTTCTTAGAACAAAATTCATTGTAACTGTTGTACTCGCCACTGCATGGTGAACCAGTTGCGACTGGTGAACCAATCATGACGCACTTGTTCCAATCAGCAAAGAACCCTGTCGTCTTTTTCTTCCCTTCCCACGCTCTTTCATCATCAACACATGTCACTCATCAGGCCACACAAAGCTTCGTCCGAGATGTACAGCATACCGCGTAATGACGCCTTATGGAATCCACGGACACCGACGGCAAATGTGGCGTGGAGACACCAGCTCTCGGTAAGATGCAAATGGCTGCCCTCCACATTCCGCGTGACCGCGGCCTGACATCCAGAGCGATGGAAGAGCGGGACTAAAGTAATATGTGAATGCTCGTCTGAGCTACAATCTTTTCGAAGCTTCGCTGCTGTCACATTTCCTCCTATCCGTCGCATCATCCACCAGCGTCAGAATGGATTTCACACAGAACCAGGCAAACGGCGTCAACAGTACATCACACTACGAGACCAGACCGCTCAACATCACGATAGTGGGTGCTGGTATTGGCGGTCTCTCTGCTGCCATTCTTTTGCGCCAACAGGGACACACTGTCACTCTGCTCGAGCAATCACGCTTTGCCAACGAACTTGGTGCAGCCGTGCATCTCGCCCCAAATGCTAACGGACTTCTTCGTCGCATGGGACTCTCCCCCGAAAAGCTTGGTGCAGTGTCTTGCAAGAAGCTGAGTCAGTGGTTGCCTAATGGCAAAGAGCTATTCAGCATACCTCTCGAGCGCGAAGCCCACCGCTGGCAACATCCCTGGCAACTTGCCCATCGTGTCAGCTTGCACTCTGAGCTAAAGAGGTTGGCAACCACAGAAGACGGCCCAGGAAAGCCCGCAATCCTGAAGACACGATCAAGAGTTGTGGACGTCAATCCCGCAGAGGGTAGCGTTACGCTTGATAGTGGCGAGGTGGTGCATGGCGATATCGTTGTTGGTGCTGATGGTGTACACTCAAAGACAAGACCAAAGATTCCCGGTGCTGAGAACATCAAAACCTTCGGTTGTGGAAAGAGCGCTTTCCGCTTCCTCATCCCCAGAGAACGCGCCTTGGCCGATCCGGAGACCAAGAGATTCGCCGAGCATGAGGGCCATCTCATCATGATCTTCGGTAGCGACCGCCGTGTGGTGGTGTACCCGACGAACGATAACACACTGCTGAACTTCGTCAACATCCATCCTACATCTGAGTCTCAGACCAACCCCGAAGAGTCGGGAAGCAGTGACTGGCAGAATCAGGGAAACATCGACAAGATGCTCGAGATATACAAGGACTTCGAGCCAGCTGTGCTCAAGCTACTTGGTATGGCGGATGAAGAAACATTGAAGGTGTGGGAGTTGCTCGACATGGAGCAATTACCTACATGGACTCACGAGAAGTTGGTCCTCATCGGTGATGCGGCTCACCCCTTCACACCTCGTAAGTTGATCTTACATGTACTCCATACGAGACTTACTGATGCATGTTTCTACAGACCAAGGTCAAGGTGCGGGCCAAGCCATCGAAGATGCTGCGTCACTTGCAGTCATGCTGCAAAAAGGCACACCCCTTAGTGTCATCACCGATCGTCTGAAGCTCTACCAGAAGTGCCGCTTCGAGCGTGCTTCGTACATCCAAGAGATATCTCGCATCGCCGGCATGGACTTGGGCTCAGGTCCACCACTCGACTCGTCCCGCTTCACCGCCTATAACTTCGGCCACGACGAATGGGACTACTCCAGTCAAATGCTGCGAAAGCATGAGTGGGAGAACAACAAGGGCCTGTTCTGGAGGATGCCAACTTCTTTCGGGCCCATGCCCGGACCACGACAAGACTTCCACGGCCGCTCGCGCGATGGAAGCAAAGCCACTTTCAAGACGACCAGTGTCAAGTTTAAGTCGAGCAGAACGGTGTTGCAAAACCTCTTCCCTACCGAGAAGCTCAAGTTCGCATCTACAGATACAGTCGTCTACGCCACTTTCACAGCAACACAGCTCGACAATCTTGAATGGCTAGGTGGCCGAGGCTACTCGCACTTCGGCCTGTACGTGCACGGCGTGCAATACACCAAGGGCAATGGAGAGACAGTTACAGGTACATACCTCCCTGTGCTCTTTGAGAACCTTGCAGACCCTATCCTGAGCGGTAGAGAAGAGCTCGGTTTCCCAAAACTGTTCGCCGATCTCGATATACAGCTAGATGGTAACACATGGTCACTGAAAGCTAGCTGGATGGGCTCCAAGTTCGCTACCGTGACACTCTCGGACCCAACGGAGCCTCTTACGAACGATGACGCCGCGCCCCAGCAAGGACAAGCGCCAGTGCCAGCTGACGAGGGACTCTTCTTCCATAAGCACATCCCCGCCACCGGCAGCATTGGCAGCAAAGAGCGAGGGCAGGCTGATGTCGAGTACACCGCGTTCCTGCCCAACGAAGCGGATGCAAAGACTGTTGAAAGAAAGGTCTCGAAGACACTTAAGGCGAAGAACGCGCAGATACAGTTCGATGCGCTCGACTGGAAGGCACTGCCCACGCTGCATCACGCTGTTGCGAGGTTGCAAGAGGTGCCGGTATATGAGGTTGTGGAGGCCAAAATTGTGGAGGGTACTGGGGTGAGCGATGTCAGCTCAGTGAGGAGGGCAGAATGAACGATTGAGTATATAGCTTGAGGGAATCATGTTCTACTTTACACACTCTCTCTTTCTCACTCTAGCGTCCGTCCCATCCGATCTTAATGATTCATTCCCTGAACCCTGTCAGCATGTGCGTCATGTGGAGATCAGTTGCCGATGACATTGTGTTTAGATCGCGTGCAAGGCCATCCGGTGGTTCCACGGCTACGACGGCTGTGAAAGGTTTCCGTTAGGATTCCATATACATCCTTTGCGCAACAGCCTCGTGTGAAGGTCCTCCAACCGGGCTTGTGTAGCCGTCAACCGGTAGAACCCCAGCTGAGAGATCCTTGGTAGATCTGCGCAAGCACTCGCAAAGCAATGGGCTGCTTCAGAGACTACAAGACCTTGCTAGAGATTGCAGGGCAACATTTGACACATGATTAGTACGCCAATTTGAGGCTCACATACCATACGTATTGAATATATGGCACGGAATTGCATACGTTATAGCCAACAGGTCTTTAGATTCGAGGCAGAACGAAGATAGCTATTCAACAACAGAATCGGGCGACTACTGCGAAGTGCTCTCAGGTACCCACTTGGCAGTCCAAATCCTCAGTCTCTTTCCCCAGATCAGAATCGGGATCGTCATCAACGCGAACAGACCCATCAGCATGCCGAAGATACCAAAAGGCTCCGCAGCACCGTCGTGGTTGACCCACTCGCCCACAAAGAACGTCCATGCAAAACTCACAACAGCCCTAGCACTCGTCACCGCGACGAAGCAGTCTCCGGCGATGTTTGTGTACGACTCGATGAGGTAGTTGAAGCCTACAGATGGCGCTTGCATGAGTCCAAACGCTACCATGCCGAGACCGAACTGCAGACCAACCCATCCAGTCGTCGAAGGGTTCTGTGCAACGAAACCAAAGACCAGCGCACCGGCTGTAGCGATGACTAGCGCAGGAAGTGCAGTGACAAGACGCGCCTCAGGTTCCGCGTAGCCGTGCGAGTCCTTAGCTGCGTTGCGCTTGGTTGTCCAGTCAGCGATGAGATAGGTGTAGATGCAACCAAGCAGCGCTCCGATGATACCGCCGACGTTGATGAGACCGACGTCCTTGCCCCAGAGGTATGGAGGCGCGGCCACGAGCTGCGGACCGATTGTGCTGATTGTGACGATGAGACCGACGAGGCCGGCGTACCAGGCGGAGATGAGCCAGACACCGGGGAGGCGCATGGCTTGGTATGGGGCGAGGAACTTGCGGCCAATGCCGGGGCGGTAGGTGATGAGCCTCAGGGACTTCATGTATGAGTATGAAGGGTATGAAGAAGGCGATGGCTGGACGGTTGAAATGGCTTCCTTTTTCTCGACATGGTCTTTTCCGTCTTCGCCTTCGAGGTCGTTTAGCCACTGCGGTCGATCATATAGGGTCTCGGCTTGGAAGACAAGGCAAAGGACGAAAGTGATCGAGCACAGCAGGACGTTCATCCAGTGAATCCAGATAAGACCCATGGCTGACACGATGTACCCGCCGGCGATGCCGCCTACGAGTGAGCCGAAGGTCAAGAAGACAGTATAGATGGCCCGGGAGGTAGTCAGTATCGTTGCATCAATCAAATGATTGGTGTTCGACTCACCATCGCACGTCCACGCTGGTGCACGAAGAATATCTCTCCTACAACATCAGGCGAGACTGCATCAGCGGGGCCTCCTCCGATACCCATGAACAGACGAGCCGCCAGGAGGCTGTTGAAATTTGTTGTCAAGCCAGCCCACATACTCGAGAAGATAAGGAGTAGGAGACTGCCAAGGATAACAGGTCTGCGGCCGAATGTGTTTGCCAAAGGCACCCACCACAAGTTCGAAAATCCCAACATCAAAATGTTGACGGCGACGAGGTAGGTGAGTGTGGAGAATGGCTTGGGTGGTAGGCCAAATAAGGGCGATGCCGCGTAGACCGGCAACGCACTCGAGAGCGATGAACTTGTGACGTTGACGACGAATGGATGTACAGACATGCAGAACAACATGGCCATCTTCCGCCACATAGGCAAGTTCAAGGGGTCCGCAGGGTCTGCTGACGGTTGAGGTACCAGACGGATCTCATCGTGGTTTTGCTGCGATGCAGCCCATTCCAGGTGTTCTGGAGGTGTCAGTAGCTGTTAAAAACGGAAATCGATGGGAGAGTCCTACCAACAAGGGTCGTAGTGCCAGGCGGTGTAGCGTTCTTGACCTCCTCTTTAGACAAGGCAAAGGCCTCCCTGAGAGATGTCATGTTGAGTGATGATGAACTCTGGAGGTCGTCGGTTTTGTGATGACTTCGATAAACTGGCGAGATGGACCTTGCATGGTGTTGATGTGTCCCCTAGATTATATAGGATGGTTGACCCGAGGGTCTTGGGGTGAGTATCCATGCTTAGCGAACAGGCGTGCGTCTCGGCATCATTCATTGGTCGCAGCAAAGAGTGCATTGACTCAAATTACCCCAGCTCGAAGTGCCGTTTTGTGGGGATACTTGGGGTTGTCCGATGTGGAGGAGGTTGTCCGCCGTCAGTCTAAGACTAAGATGGACAAGCCAGGTGGGGTCGATCCGAAAACACCTGCCGCTACGATAAGACGACCAATAGGTGCCAAGCACGGCGTTCGATTTTGCAATGAGCTAGGCCCAAAGCCCTCGATTGAGGAAGAACCCGAGAAGCTGGAACGTTGATCTTGCACGTGGACCGTGCAGTAGGGCGAGCTGTTGTACGCTCCAGGTTGCGTATTCGTGAAGATATTTGTGAGTGTCCACTGCGGTCTCTACATCTGTAGCCGAGCAACCCACCAGAGTAACAGAAAAAGCCGCACACGAGCCAAAGGTTTTGGGAGGTATTCAGCGTCAATCTGCAGGCCATCCGCGACCTGATAGAATATCTGAAGACTACAACATTTTCGAACGTTGGGTCCGACGAATAGGCAAATCACTCTTCCACATAGTGGTACCCTTTCTTTATCTGGTGCCTGGTCGCAGACCTTCCAGCAACTGCACCAGATTACCTACCAGTGGTGGGCATGATTCTTCAACAGACCCATAAGGTGCTAACAGTAGTTGCACTAAGCCATCCATGACTGCACCAACATTGCTTAGCTGGATAGTGTCCTTCGACTTGGTGGTCCTGATTGACGGAAACCCTCGATCCATAGTGATGAATCTTCGCGCGCTGAGGGTGTCGTCTCCATTGAGTACCACTGCAGCTTGTGGGGCGTCGCTAGGCGTCGACTTCTCTGCAGCAGATCGCCTTAGGAAGCCATAACCCCACAGTATAAGCCCCGCATGGTATACGGCGATCGCATTGAAGTTACAGAGCAGACCTTTCGGTAGACTCTCAGCAGCACGAAGGATCTGGCCAGCGTGCCACAGTGCCTGGCGGGCTAGAACCGTCTTCGTCCAATCGCGCAATGAAGGATAGGCGGAGCGCGCCTCTTCTTGGCCCTCGATCCCAGCAAAGAGTTGGATGTCGTCTAGGGGCGCGTTGAGATGTAGCAACATCAGTTCCATGGTGATCTCAGCAGTTTTTGTCATTGGTGGGCTGCTGACGTGGAAGTCTTCGATCTGCTTCGTAAGCTCCTGATAGCGGGATGACAGGATGAGACTGTTGTGTCCTTTAGCGGGTGATCGTGCACCGAGCGAGCTTATCTGGCGGAACTCCCAGACCATGCCCCACATCATGTGCAGATACGTCTTGCTAGCGCTGTCATGTTGAGCGAGATGGTCGAGATCTAGGAGGCAGTCGATAGCTGATGGACGCTTTCTCGCGTCCCAGGCATTTTCCAGATAAGCGGCCTTCCAGGCGGTTGCGGACTTTGCTAGCCAAAGACCTGTTTCGAGTCAGCCGATTCATATAATGCACACAAGTCTCTGGTCTCCATGGACTGACTACCTCCGGAGTGCACAGGGAAGTGGAGGGACTTACGATCTGAGCTAGGCAAGGGCAGATGCATCTCCGAGTATGTCATCAACGGCGGTTTGAGCAGGGCCATCGATGACTGTCTATCAAGCTCGAACACACGATAGATGAGACGAAGATACGACTCTTGGTGCACCCACTCTTCCCACTTGGCTTCGAGAGCAGACCCTTCTTCTTCCGCAGACGGAACAATGTCCTTCCACGTCGATCGTCGCAGCCTCCCTCCTCGTCGTATCATCGTAACGAGCGGTTGAAGGAAGCTCTCCGCAATCTCCATCTTGCGACTCACACCGCTCCACATTCCAACCACAAGTTGGAGTAAGAATGTCCTCACATGCTGCAAGTCTCTTATCGCAGAGTTGTCCTCTTCGAACGACTTTGCTTGACCCATGCGAGCAGCTTCGTGCAGTGCGAACCCAAGCTTTCGCAATGGTATGTCTGGTGTGGAAGCAGCACCTGCTGAGATGATACAAGCAAGCAGTTCTGGGCTCAACTTCGCAAGCGACAAGGTTGGAAGGTGAAACCAGGACTGCACATCGAGGGCTGGCGAGGTCAAGAAAAACTGTATGAGTCCATCGAGCAGTTCAACACTTGGAAATGCAGATGCTATACGCTTAACGTTCTCAGGGCTGCATGTGCCAAGGACCAGGGCCATAACCCGATCACGGCTCACGCGGCCAAGTCTCTCATTGAGCGCGCGACGTTGTGGAAGATGCGTTCGGCGACTGCTGTCTTTGTCAGAGTCTGGGAAGGCTAGGTTTGTCTGCTCCATTCCGCTGTGGTCCTTGTCTCGACGTGGCATATAGCGCCATATGCTCTGTTTGAAAGCTTCTGCTCGTACCGGTGCGCTGTCGCTTTCCAGAGGCTGTGATTCGAGCCCATGAGCGTCAGTCGAGGGTGTCCCCGCCGTGAACGGCACCTGAAAGTTGTACTGGTCTAGCAACCCGAGGTCAAGGTCTGTAAGACCAACGTCCATATCGAAATTAAGGTCCATTATGCCTCGTGGTGTAGCATGACCTGACAAGAACGATTCGAACGGTGGCATATTCCGGAAGTAGTCCGGGAGAAATGGGTCAATAGTCGGTGTGTCATCGAAGTTCGACATTGTGTTGTCGAAGAATGCTAATGGTGTGTTGTCAGTGTCGGTGTACAGCTGATCTATAGCCAGAGTGCCTGGGCCTTGTTTGACATTGTTGGATGTATTAAACGATCTCTCACGTCCAGTTGAATGTGACCCGCTCGAAGGTGCCATCTGCTCCACTGATATTGAGGGCAGAAGGAAGTCTTGTTTGTTGCCATCACTCATTTGTGGTGTCAAGTTTTTGTTGTTTCCAGGAAGCGGCGTTGGGGAACCATAGTCAAACCCGGTGGACAAGTCAAGCAAGTCTTGTGCGGCATGCACCGCATCGAGTTCGTTGACTTCGTTATCATCTGCTGTGAAGGTCTCTGGTACTCGGCAGGCGATGTTTCTCTTCTTACAACGACTGCATGGCTTTTCGTCCTCGCAGCGTAAATGGCTTTGGGAGCAAGCCTCACACGCCTGCACTACTCGGGTATCGCGAGCGATCTCTCGCTTTTGCCTTTTCGCGGCAGAGTCGGAGTTGTGGTTCGTTACATGCCTCTTAAGTAGGTCTCTGCAAAGGGTCAGATCACGTCCACGGAGAGTGGGCGGTAATGTGGGGGATGCACATACATCCTGGCGAAACCCTTCGAGCATACAGGACAAATGTAGGGCTTTTGCCGCGTATCTGGTAATGAGAGTCAGTGGCGAGTACGAGTGATTTTAGGACGCATGTAAGGGAGAAGCGCCTGAAATTGTTGATGAAGGTAACTGTCGCGTCTAGGAGAAGCCGCACCCTGCCGGACAGAGCAAGGATCACCTCTGCCTCACGCCACTGTGGTGATCCAAGACCTCTTGATTTCTGATATCAACGTTACTACTGGAGAGAATACGTACGCGCTCGGACGTGTCGCGTGAGATGGTCTGCCCTGGTGAAGGACTTCTTGCACGTGCTGCACTGGAAAAGTCTCTGGGTTTCCGAATCGGGTATAGTGGCGGTCAATTGCTCTTGCGGTGGTGTCACATTTGCCTGCATTGCAAATGCATCGAACGACAATGGCTTCGGATAGCGAGGTGGAGGAGAATCTGGGGAAAGCTGGATTGTGGGGAGTGTTCGAGCCAAATCATGCACGGCACAGTGCGGGAACGGAATGCGACCCAAGCCGAGCGCGGCTCCTCCACAACCCGAATACCTGCTTGTCTTCGACAATCACTCAGCTTCCGGTTGAAGATGAGACCGACCACCAAGCTTGCGCATCAATTTGGCTCTCAAATCCGTCCTGATTTCAGCGGACAAATACAACGCACCCGGCAATTGCGTGATAGCCAACGTTGCCACTTTCAGCGTCAACTTGATCCATCCTAGCCTCCGCTGAATCTAACAGCATTCCATCAGATACGTGTTCGAAACGAGAAGCTATCATCAAGAAGTCTTTTCAGTATAGACTGAGCTCTTGACTGGCACCAAACTCTTCAATATGACGGTCCCACCAGTCCACTTCTTCTCCCACGGTTCGACCATGATGCTGGGAGAAGAATCGCGCTCCGCAGATTACTGGAAAGCCTGCGGCGACGAAGCCCTCCACCACGGCATCAAAGGGATCATCATGATGGGCGCACATTGGGATGCACGAGGCGTAAACCGGATCGACGTATCCATGAACCCGAAGCCCAATAAATCACCCGTCGCCTACGTCCACCCGAGCAAATACGTCGACTACGAGCTCAACCCTGATCTCGCCACAGGCAAGAAATGCATCGCAGCACTACGAGAAAAGGGTATCGATGCCCGACCAAACGACAAGTTTGATTGGATCCACGACACATATCTCATCCTGATCCGGATGTTCCCCTCCAAGTGCCCGCCGACAACAATCATCAGCATGAACGGACGCTTCGATCCCCACCTCCATGCACGAGTTGGAAGCATCCTCGCCCCCTTTCGCGAAGAAGGGTACCTCATCATCGGCACTGGCGGCGCAGTGCACAACCTCTACCGCAACCACTGGGGCCAGATGCTCAAATACTCTGACAACCTCGCTCAGCCATACCCACCGGAAGCACCCATGCTTGAGTTCCGACAGAGCGTTGAGGATGTTTTTGTCAGGAGTTGCAGGAAAGGAGCGCCGAAAGGTGCTGTGACGAGAGGCATCACGAGGCTGATGAAGCACCCGATGTTTAGGGATGCGCATGCGACGGATGATCATTATATGGCGGCGTGCTTTGTTGCAGGAGTGGTGGATGCGAGTCCAAGAAGTGGGGAGGAGTGTGTGTTGGGGGCTGAAGATTGGGAGTTGGTGAATATGTGTAATAGCCAGTTTACGGTTGGGAGGTGGGCGCAGAAGGCTTGATTTGTTCAGTGCATTTGGCGTTCGTCTGTATAGCAATACCACATGTCAAATTTCACCAATAAAGAGAGCGATTCAAATGTTCCCAACCAATATTTTAGATGCAAGTATGACACCAATATCGCCCAAGATCCAAGAGAGTGGCATGATCGAGCATACCAGATTATTGATTTCCTGACCGGGGTACCTGTGCGGGACATTCCATCTCGAGCATTGAGAACTTCATTAGGATCTCCATTGAACACCCTGAAAATGAGTCTTTCATGTAGGAAAACCATTTGGGACTGCAAAATTTGCTCATGACACGCGCAATTGCCTCATTCAGATTCTATATAGTAGTCCTCCAGCTTCTCAACCCAAACATGACACTTCTATTTCGGCGGCACAATAGGCAGGGTAACGTAGTTCACGAACTTCTCTCCAAAATGCAGATGATTCAATCCCGCAAACACCTCCTCACTCCTGTCTTCTGGGTGGTTGTGCTGGAAGATACCACTGCCCTGTGTATCTCCACTGCTGACCTCGAACACGATCTTACCACCCTTCTCAACGATGACATTTGTCGGCCAGACCTCAACATCAACCGCGTATACATCTCCTGGAATGACCGGCTGCACATCTGTGCTGAAGTAGTCGCGCCAAGGCAGGTACTCGCGGTGCTTGGGGTGCTCAGGGTTGGTCTTGCGCAGACTAACGCGCAGCCAGCCCTTAGCGAGGGGGATGGGGTCGCCGGCTGTGCCTGTGTAGTGTACCTCTTTGCCTTCGGGCGAGATGTAACGGAGTGTGAGGAAAAGGTCGATGTCAGATGGGGTGGCGCCAGTAGCGTGGGGAGAGAGGGACGCGTTCAGGTGCGCAACGATGTGGCCTGTGATCTCTGTCTCTTCTTCGAAAGGAGCGGTGGTGAACTGGAGAAGTTTGGGGTTATCCAGCGTGCTCAAAGCCTCGTAGGATAGCTTTTTTGGGCGGTTTGTGATTGGTTGAACTGGTGTGAGTGTTTGTGAGGGTGTGAGGTAGAACTTGGTGTATCGCGTGCGTGCGATGGGCCACTCGTTCTCTGTCCGCCTCTCGTAAATCTTCTCGGCTTCTGAATTGTCGAAGCCGACATCACCCTTCCTGAGCACAATATCGACTGGTGGATGTTTGCCCTTGACAGACCAGCCAACCCGGTCATCGCCTTTCAAGAATGCATCAAGAAAGCTGCGTTGTACTTCGACTTCCTCTTTGTAGAAAAAGGGCAAATCGTGACGACCTGTGATCATCCGCAGGTATTTGAACTCTGATCCTGCATGGGTGTAGCCTTCGATGTTGCCTCGAAGGTGAAGCAAGATACCGCCCCAGTTTCCCACCGAAAGCAATGGTACTTCGATGTCGCTCATGTCGTACTCTTTACTTGCATAATAGATCTCGTCACGGTATTTGGACGCATTTGTATCAATGGTTTGATCTTGTCGGTTCTTCGCTCGGATTTCTTCGGAGAGGTCACCATCAACAGTGTCGGGACCCCAGTTGCGCGCTGCACGTCCTGGTCGTCCGTACTGATTCGTGATGACTTGACGATTCCTAATACAAAGTCAGCAATGTGGATAGTGGTCGTAATTCGTACCTGGACTTACCACCAGAAGTCGATGAACTTGTTGCTCAAGATACCACCGTGTCTGCAGCGATCGCGGTAGTAGTCGCTCATGCCCTCCCAAGGAATGACAGCCGCCAAACCCTTCGGCTTGCGGGCAGCTACACGCCATTGCGATCCAGCGTAGTAGCTGATGCCGAGCAAGCCGACTTTGCCAGAAGACCAAGGCTGCTCAGCAGCCCACTCCACCACATCAAAGAAGCACTCGCTCGTTCCGCGCGACATGGTGTCGAGGAAGCCAGGCGACTGCCCGAGCCCGCGCTCGTCAGCGCGTACAACAACATAATCGTTCTTAGTCCAGAAACCGGGATCTGGTGTCTCCCATGCTGAGTGATCGGAGTGGTGCTCTGGGTTGACTTCAGAGTACGACTTTGCATGGAAGCTTAAATTGTCAGGTAGATAAACGTAGAATTCGTGTTGGTGGCACCTACTCCTTGTAGTGGATATCCTTTCCGTACGGACCGTAAGTCACCAGCACAGGAAGCTTCGTACCCTCTTTCGTAGATTTCGGCCTATAGACGTTGACTCGCACAATGCCTTGCGAGCTTGTCTTCAGCGGGACTTCCGCATTCTCCTCGAAGATGTAGGGGAATGACGTCTCGTCAACTTTGTGCGCTTTCTTCACTTCTAGCTGCTCAGACATCGTGTCAGTCGCGTCAATGGTGTCAAAGGTGTGTGTAAACTTACTACTGGCACATTTCAGTATATATTAACGGTTGCGACGCGTATGGGTCCCGATCGCGCCGACGCGGCTGTGAATGACGAGGGGTCTTCTCCGGAAGGAATGTGGGGGACCTCCGCCCGAGATTGTGTAGTAACCAGACATCGAAAGCGTCGTACGAGGCGTCAAGATAATGGATGAACACGCATAGCCAAAGATTTGTTACAGTAGAGGCAAAGATACTCTCGTTGCTGGCTATAGAGTTTTATCCTATGAGATGGTAGTTTCAATCTTAGTTGTGGGCATTTACACGTTCGCCATGTGAACACCAATTGAAGAGAAAACAACGATGGCATGGTCAATTGAGACCGTGTTTGAGGACCTCGACTATTGTCATGATAGCGAATTTTCTTCAAGCTCTGACTGTGTCTAGTGAGAAGCAGGCACACCCTGCATAGTCCCATAATCCTCCTTCAAAATTTCCCCACCGATTTCCACCGGCTTGCTTTCCTGCAACACATACATCATCCTCGCCCAACTGTCCATGCTCAAGTTCCTCCACGCATGCATTGTGCCCCTCTGAATCGCAACATCACCACGCTTCAAGATCCGAGTCTCCCCGGAGTCAAGCACCAGCTCAACCTCGCCCTCGATCACTACGCCATAGTCGAGCGAGATTGTTCGGTGCATGGGCGACAGTGCACCGGGTTCCATGTCGACGAAGCGCAGGACCGTGCCTCCAGATGTTACGAGTCCGGGTGCCTTCTCGAGGAAGGGCTTGTAGACCTTCAGGTCCGCGTCGTTGTTCAGTTCGACTGGATGCCCTTTTGTGACGTAGGGGAGACCGAAGGCTGCGCTTGGTATTCTGTCCCATTTCAAGGTCTCGTCGACAGCGTCTGAGAAGACTGCCTGCTTAGTGGTAGGATCGTGGGTTGTGACATAGCGCTTCAAGCTGGGCAGCTTGTTCTCGAGTTCGGGTCTGGATGACATGGTTGCTAGTTTTCAAAGTCTGAAAGTGATGATGTTCTTCGCTGGTGGATTGTACCACTTTACAGGTTGCTTCGTGAAAACTGTTGGATGTGAATCTGCAGAATGTAAAGATCAAACCGTGGATCTCATGTTGATGACACCTCCCGATGTGGAGGGACGATCACCTTCAAAGGGTTCAGTCTCATCAACTGCCGACGCGTTACGAGCTCCTTCGTACTGCAGGGTCATAAGCCTGACAACTTCGCACTTCGGTGCTCAAGAGCTCCGTGACACGTATCGAACATGATAGGTGATAGTATCTCGTATGAGCTTGTGAGTTGCGCAAGATCGTTGAAGTTCACAATGGATAAGGAATGTACCTTATCGGGATTGGTTTTAGACCACTGCCCTTTGATGAAAGAGCGAGGGATCTCCAGAGATCATCTCACCGTTTTCAGACTGATGCTCAAGCCTCACGTCTCAGAATGCCACACAGCAGAGCCGCAGACCCTGGTGGGTGTTGCGAGGTCGGTGCATGACAATGCCGCCCACCGAAACCGATTCCGGGGTCATGTGCGGGGGCCCGATGTGGAGGGAGAATTATTTCGGAGACGCGATGCCTCGCGCATTAGCAAAAGTAGCTGGTACGAAGGAGATTGAGGGCCTTGAACGAGAGCACAGTTGCTTCCAAAGTTCGGGCAATATCACTAAAGTTTGATAAGAATAGTCACACAGTCCAGTTTTTACAGTAGTGAATCAGAAGCTTGAAGGCACAGATCACGATGGCCAACGCATACACCTCCCACTTCGGAATCAACAACATTCCCTATGGCATTGCAAGTTCAGCTAAGAGACCGCAACCACAAGCTGCAACAAGGATAGGCGACGATGTGATCTTTCTCGCAGAGCTTGCAACACACGAAACCTTCAAAGCCATGGAAACAGATCTGCCAGCTCTGTTCTCACAACCAACTCTCAACGCCTTCGCCTCTCAGTCATCTCAGACTCACAGCGCCGTACGCACCGCAATTCAAGATGCCTACAATGACAACCTCCACACACCATCCTCCGAGAACATCGCAGACGTGACACTCCACCTCCCTGTCTCCATCGGTGACTTCACCGACTACTCTGCCAGCGCAAACCACGTCCTTAACGCGGGTGAAGCCATAATGGGCACTCGCTCCTTCCCACCCGCATTCCACAAATACCCCGTTGGCTACGCCGGTCGCTGCTCCTCAATCTCCGTCTCCGGCACACCTATCACGCGCCCGCTGGGACAGTACATCGAGGACTACACCGCTAGTGAGAAGAACATTGTCTTCGGCGCCTCGCGCGCGCTGGACTACGAACTCGAAATCGGTGCGATTGTAGGCAGACCGGTGGAGCCGGGCACCTTTCTGCAAGCGAAGGATGCGGATCAGCATATTTTTGGGCTGGTGCTGGTGAACGACTGGTCTGCGAGGGATATCCAGGGGCTGGAGATGAATCCGCTGGGGCCGTTTAACGGGAAGAATTTCGGAACCTCGGTGTCTCCTTGGGTGATCACGCACGAGGCATTGAGGGCGCATGAGGTTCCTGCGCCGGAGCGGATGGGACCTGTTGCGTCGTTTATGGATGATAAGGGGGCGGTGAATTATGATATACAGCTTACTGGCGCGATTACACGGGGTAAGAAGACAACGACGACGTGTAAGGTCGGGTTTGAGACTATGTACTGGACGTTCAGGCACATGCTTGCTCATCACACGATTGGCGGGTGTGGACTGCGGACGGGCGATCTGATAGCGAGTGGAACTGTGAGCGGGGAGGAGGAGCATGAGCATGGGTGTCTGCTCGAGCTGACGAAGAACGGCAAGAAGGCTAGTAAGCTGAGTGATGGCAGTGAGTTGAGGTACCTGGCAGACGGAGATGAGGTGACTTACGAAGCCGTCATTGGTGATGGAAGTGCAGGTGTCGGGTTCGGAGCATGTGTTGGTGTTGTCAAGCCGGCAAGCAAGGTATAGAAAAGCAAGATGCTGGCGAAGCATGGTAATCACCATGTCGTGCTAGAAAATCGTTGTAGCCTATGTGCTTAAAGATCAGATCACGGAGGCCCGTGCAGCATACAATGGGCAATCGCGTCCGGTCGCACATGGCAAGCATACGGTTAAGAACCGTCGTCGCGTGACGCATGGCAATACTCATTTCATTTCGTCCACTCTCTTCTACCGGTGACGTGGTTAACGTCGATGCATCGAGGCTCACCAAGTGCTTGGAGCTTCTGCTCCTTTTTGTAGATCCCAAAATCGCGCGCTGCATATACGGACAACAGTCGTCCCCCCTCACCTATCTTTCTTCTATCATCTCAGACCGGCCAAGCGACGCTCCTGAACCTCGGACAGCGCCCGGCTGCCGCTCAAGAATGCAACAACACCAACAAGACCGGCGGCAGGCAGAGTCTGGAACAGATTCCAGCTCGTGTAGTAGAGAAAGAAAACACCCTCCATGGCGATGATCGAACCGTAGAAGAGGGCGTGCGAAACAGGAGCCGCACCGAGAGCCTTGCTAAGGTGGCTGACGTTGGCACCAAGAGTCGCCCAAAGGCCCAGCAGAATGGGAAGTGCGGCAGCAACGGCTGCGGCAAAGACAATGGTTATGATCTTGGGTGGTGACTTGGGGTCTTCGCGGAAGATGTGGTGGATCTCGGCTTCAGGAGCGTAGCGGAGCGGTGCCTCGGGGATAGCGAGGGGCACATTCGCACCGCGCGTTACGGTAAGATCAAAAACCTTGTGCTTGTAGGGGGTGGAAGAGCCGAATGCTCCAATGACGATTGAGGCGGGAATTGGCTTGGAGGCAGTAAGGAATTGGTGGGGTAGGTCCTTCTGCGTCTGCGAGTTGTTAATCGTGCCTGTGCAATTGGACGTGATACCCACCAAAGAGACCTTTCCCTTGCCACTGTCCTTGACACTGAGCACAAAAGACTCCTCCAGCCCACTTGTGGGGTCAGTCAAGGTAAGGAAAGCCTGGTGTGGTCGCTTCGCAGTCTTTCCGTCAACGGTTGTAAGGTCGAGCTTCAAGGAATCGGTTGCACCTAGTGACACCGTCTTCGCGAGGGGCGTTGTAGCGCTGAGTCTAAGAAGAGTCAGTTCCCAGCCTCAAGGGGTTTACGTACGTGGGCGAGCTCACTTGTCCTTGGAAGCTCCGCCTACACCAGCGCCTTTGCTGGCAATCGAAACGGTGGCATCTTCGAAGCTCCAAGCCGCAGCATATGCAATTGGCGCGCCCGAAAGCAAAAGCGAAGACACGAGACCGAAAGAAAACTTCATGATTGACGTATGCAAAAGAGTGAACGCGGAGCTCTGAGTGATGCCAGAGGACAGCTTACGTCTCCCAAGCTCGCACTAGCCGCCAAGTCGGGGATTTGTCGGTCCACGGGTCCGCCGCAACTTCCTTCCCATCACTTCCGTCACGCACCTCTTCTCGCAAAACCTCACACCAATTCAGAGCTGATACGAGGATGGCTGCTACGAACATTACAAGTTTCGTTGTTTCTCCAATCGGCCCGCCTTTGGTTAATCTGAAAGCTCTATTGGATTGGTGTTCATCAGTGCAGCACGGCTTGTTGCATCTCCAGGATGGACGACAGACAACACTTGAATGCCAGCTTAGCTCAGACTCATAGGCGTTGCTGCTAATCGTCTTCACGGCTAATCTTTGTCTCATGGGGCACGAGGCGGGAGATGACCGCCCCGAAGATTGCTCTTTCACCCGCAAGGTCACGTAGAGCAGGTTCCTCTCAACGTATCGCATGAAATACCTTGAAGGTATTACCACGTAACGAGGGCTGGTGAGAGAGAAACACAACCATGCGCAGCTCACTGCTCTCACTCTCCCTCCCGCTTTCGGGTTGTCATAAGCTTCCCTTCCTTGAACTACTCTCCAAACTTTACCACCCTACCAACTGGTCATACTACACTCGCATATCACGAACCATCAGTTACTCGTCCTCTCCTTTCTCGAGCCCTTGAGCCCTTGTTTCCATCATGCACCAACTCATCTCTCATTTCGGCCTGAAGTTCTATCTCTTCGATCTTCAAGGCGTCCTCACATACGAGCTCACTAAGGACGGCAGATCCGCGAAGACATATGAGATCTCAGAGACCGACGTCAAATTTGCAAGTAGCAGCGAGGACAGTATCATTGACAACCTCCAGCCTGCAAAGGCAGGCCTCGATATCAGTGCTGTGGGCATTCAACTGCACCTTCTCAGGAACGATGGGCTGTTACGTATGTGGTTCGAAGGAAGGGAGGGATGTACAGCAGATTGGACTTTCGATGGCTTGAAGGCGACGACCAATGGAAGGATGACCGCGTCAGCCGGTGCTCAGACGTGCGTCGACCTCGATAAGTGCATTCTCTGCGGCATCAAGGAAACAAAGCGGAGCGACATGCGAAACTGTGCGTCCCAGACCGAAGTAGTGACCGTACAGAGCGTGTCTTTCAGCGCCGACGCTGCACAGCAGACGACAAAAGAGTCAAGATGGCTTGACAACCTCAGTCCAAGAGCAACGCCAGCGCCCAGAACAAGCATGAAGGCAGCACTCGCGACCATGCGAAATGGCACCAGTCAAAAAGAGAGCACCAAAGAAGTAGCCATCAGATCGAAGCGCAGAGCGTTGTCACCACCACACAGTGATGTGCCGCTGCACAAGCGGGCCAAAAGCAGGCATGACTCGAAGCCATGGCCGCGAGTTATATACATGGACTGCTACCGCACGTACCCGAACAGCCATGGCGCCGGGCTACTTGTCATCGACATCGAAAAGGCTACCGTGACATATGAGGATCACTACAAAACCAAAGTCGCCAACCACACGGAGCAAAGGCAGATACATCTCGACGACGAGCATAGTAAGCTAGAAGGTGTTCTTACGGTGTTGCTTTACTGATGTAACTAGTCGTGACGAAGTACGTCTGGAAAAAACCCAGCCACCACTGGAGGGGTGACGTGAGGCAAGCCACTCATACTCTCAAAATTAGCCGCTTGATCAGGAGTGGCGGCTTATCGCCGCTGATGAAGCTAGATGTTGGGTCGCCTGAGTGGAAGATCTGGTACCACAACGCGCATGTTCCTGGCAGCAAGCACTACATCAACGATCCTGAAATCGTCGTCGATGCCATCATACACTGCATCGACCGCACCTCTGGACGTCAAGCCGTCCACAATCCCGAGGCAGACCACACGCGGGATGGTGCGAACTCGGAATCCGCATGGCAGCTGCATCGACGGGATTGGAAGGCGAAGTACAAGGTCTTTGAGCCTAACAAAACAGCGTCTACAATATCCTGAAGGGGTGCCGTTGGACAGGCAACAAACTTCAACACTGGGAGCTAGAGCAAGATGCCGTAACGGGCACAAGCACATTGCCGAGGGGAAGTTCAGAAATCCTAATCGGGGCTTGGCGTCTGCAAAAATACGCTTGGGACAATGAGGGTAGGGCTGAATAGATTCTATCGGCGTCTTGACCGGTTCATCGTTGGTTTTGGAGCATGGTGTGGATGGGCGCGATCTTTGGAGTATCCTATATTCTTGACCAAATTCGTGTATCGAGGTATCCCTGCTCCGTGCGCCCAACCCAACACCCTGAAAGCTCACGTAATGACAGCGCCAGCTCACGCTGGAGCCGGCGCGGCTCCGTTCTCCCCTCCCCCACCGCCCGTCAAACTCGCCATAAACTCCTGGTACCTAAACACCTCGCCCCTACCTAGCCCCTTCCCACCCTTGCCAAACGCCCTCCTCCCACTGAACCCCTCAACGACCATATCAATCTCCCTCTCCGTTAGCCGGTGCTCTCCTGCATCCGGCGCAGTATGCAATAACGCATCCTTCAACTCGGCAAGGTCGATCTGTCCATCATCCCCATCATCGAACGCTTCGAACGCTGCACTGAGCTCATTGGGCCGCGAGAGCCCGCCGAGCAGATCGGAGAGTGTGTTGAGGTATGTAGCGAGGTTTATGGATTGCGCGCCATTGAAGTAGGTAGCGAGTGTGGAGGGCGTGGCAGAGAGACCGAGCTGGGAGAGCATGTCTGCGACGTCGGCGGCGTTGACGTGGCCGTCGTCGTCGCGGTCCATGACGCTGAAGGATTCGCGCATGCTGTGGAGGAGCGGTGGAGGAAGTTTGGAGAGTGCGTCGTTTGTGGTTTGGCGGATCATGGGTGGTCGGGCGGGCGGGCGTTGCACTGGTTTCGACTCGACGAGGACAGGCTTCGAGGGAGAGATGGCCGTCTTGATGGCTTTTTCCGCGCGCTTCTCCATGGTCATCTCGACCGCTTCTTCGACGACCGGCGTGGTGCTGTCTCGAGAGAGCAGAGGAGGTGTGCTTGATCTTTCTCTACCGCCGTCGAACTTTGCAGCGAGTGATGCCGTGCTGAGTGGCCGTACGGTAGCGTTTGTGGAGCTGGACATATTGCGTGCGTACTCTGGTCGTTCTGATCGGTCGCGAGACGGTGAGAGCAGCTGTGGCCCCGGAGACAGCGGCTCTCTCGAAGGCGACCGCAGTTCTCTCGACGGCGAACGAAGCTGTGAGGGCGAGCCAGGCGGCTCCCCTGCACTTGCTGCGCCTCCCGTCTTCAGCCATGGCGGCGCATTCTGGGAGGCATTGCTGGCCGTGGCCTGGCGGAGGGATGCTGGCGACAAGGCACCTGGTGTCTCTTTCGGCTTCAGCGGCGAGCTTGTTGGTGTTGAAGGACGCGCTGTAGAGGGAGAGCCCTGTCTGATGGAGCCCGGCCGGCCGAAGGGCGACTGACGCGATCCACGCGCGCTGTTGAAGAAGAGGGGTGACGGCTTCGCGTCTGTTGGCGCCGACTGCAGCGTGTTAGTCTACCACGGCGGAAGTAGGGAGCCGGCCGCCTGCATACCATGATGTTGTGTCTCTGGTGGTTGCACTCACACTGGCGGTGGATTGCTCGATTGGGCGACGATGCAGCGTGTTTAGTCCGTGTTGACGTTCGCGGCCCTCCCCAGCAACCATGATGCCAAGTCGCTCATCCCTGCACATCGATAAGCCTTACAGCTCAGGGTCCACTCCATATCCACAGAGCACCCCCCCCCCCCCCGGAGCGCGTCGTGTAACATGTAAAGGAAGGCCGATTGCGCTCAACGCTCCTTTCCGCTGCCAGTGCTTCAGCTGGTGAACTGTGGACTGCCTGATCATCCGCAAGTCAAGCCGCGACCCGACTCCGGAACGCTACCCCTGTGTGGGGCCCCTAGCGCGACATACGGCAGATCCACGCCATGCGTGCAACGGTGGGATCGTGGAGAAGATGGAAACACTCATGGCTGAAGTGATCGCGCAAAGACCCGCCGGGCTCTCCAGCTCTTCTGCCCAGCCAGGCGGCCTGCAGCGCCAGCCCTCGTTTTCTTCATTCCCGCCCTCGCGCTCGCCCTCGGTCTCGGTGCGCAATGATCCCAGGAACGCGCGCTCCCCGCAGCCGCCCATGCTCCCTGAGGCAGACGACCTCGAGGAATCGGCCCCCTCGTCGCTCACCTCGGCGCAGTCCCACCAGGTCGGCGCCGGTGTGGGCAGGCTGCGCTCGCAGTATCCCGCCGACGCGGTCGAGCGCCATGTCGAGTACATCCTGGTCGCATCGTTCGACATTGACCGCGGGTCGGTCATGGAGAACCAGTACCCCGCCGCCATCAGCGGAGACGAGACAACGCTGGCCGAGCTCATGCTGCCGGACCAGGTGCATTCGCGTGCTCAGGACTGGACCATCTTCTTCCTTCACAAGGACACCACCACAGAAGAGGAGGAGAAGGAGGCGCGGAGAGAGCGCAGACGGAAGCGCAGACGGCGAAAAGAGGAGCAAGAGGGGCAAGAGGGGAAAGAGGGGCAAGAGGGGCAAGAGGATGGCGAGGCTGATGCTGACGAAGAGGGTGAGGACGGCGATGATGAGGACGGCGATGATGATGGCGACGACGACACAGAGGCCACCAACGAGGAACAGGACCCTGATGGCCCGCCGCTCGTCTATGTCTTGAACTTGGTCAACACCAAGCAGGACAATACCGTCAAGCGGGGAGCTGTCGTCAAAGCCATGGCTATCTGCACTCGACACTCGTTCCTACACATCTACAAGCCGCTACTTTTGTTAGCGCTCGAGGAGTACTTTCGACACCCGGTCATCGAGACGCTTGCCTCGCTCTACAACGCGCTCAATACCATGGACCTGTCGTTGTTGCCCAAGCTGTCCTCCCTGGAGAGCTTTGTGCTGCATGCCGGTGACGCAAAAGACATGTTCATCGAGAAGTTCGAGCAGATGATACGGCAGCGCAAGGCAGCTGATGCCGAGAGCGCCTCCCTGTCATCCACAGACCCGCAGCCAAAGAGGATCGCGTACATTCTTCCACGAGACACACACGAGTTCGAGTCGAAGATCAACTACAACGGCATCCCTGTGCCTGTCAAAGTACCATCTGCCCTCAGCCCTGAGACGGTGGGCGACTTCTCCCTCATCAAGCTCATCCAGACCTTCTCCACACCCCACTCGACTCAACCTCAGCCGTTCGCTCTACACCCACATCTCACGACAAGCGGCGCATATACACATCCCATCATCGTCCTTGTCAACGCGCTCCTGACACAGAAGCGCATCATCTTCATCGGCCACAACCGGCCATCAAGCGAAGTCGCCGAAGCTGTCCTTGCAGCATGTGCGCTCGCATCTGGCGGTGTCTTGCGAGGCTTTGTCCGCCACGCCTTCCCATATACCGACCTGACCAAAGTCGACGACCTCCTCAAAGTCCCCGGCTTCATCGCCGGTGTCACCAACCCTACCTTCTCCTTCAAACCAGAGTGGTGGGACGTTCTATGCGACCTCCCCACCGGCCGCATGAAGATCAGCAACCGCATCGAAGCAGCCTCGCCAACCGACGGATCTCTCTACTTCCAGCAACACGGCATACCCGTCAGCGGTGCAGGCAGCGCAATGAGCTCTGACAAGCAAGGCGGCGTAGACACGACTGGCGATAACCAGTTTATGGAAAGCATGCTCCAAGCCATAGCGAATCGCCACGGCGAAAACGCTATACGAGCGAAATGGCGCTCCTGGGTTCTCAAGTTCACCCGCATTACTGCGGCGTTCGAAGAGACCGTCTACGGCGCTTCAGCTTTGTACATTGGCTCACACGAGACTGACGCCGGTGCATATGGTGTATCTGGTCACGGCTACGTATGGCCGGATGAACACTCCCGGCTTCGCGAACTCGCTGCCAACGTACATCGCATAGAAGGGTGGCGCAGCACAAGAAGTTATTACAGTTGCGTCCAGGATCTTGCGAGGCACTGGAATAAGAGACCAGTGCGCGGTATCGACCTACACCATCAACACGATAAGTTGAGATGCTTGAAGCTCACGCATGATCAGTCTGCGGCTATCTACCTTGCGCTTGCGCGGTGTGTTGAGGAAGCTGGATCGCCCAATGCCAGTGCGTCGGGGCCTGAAGCTGATCTTCCGAATGCTAAGCAGCACCTTACACTCGCCAATGATCCTGAGAGGCGGCCGGGGGAAAAGTTGCAGTATGATACCATCTTGCAGTTGCTGTGCGTTATACCAGAGAGCAATACTGGCCTTTTCTATCTTAGCCTGGGGTTGTTCCATCCGAGGCAGGATGTCAGGAGGGCGGTGGTCAAATTGTTGGAGAGAATCATGGAACATCCGGCTGGAAGGTACTTTTGGAGCAGTCTCGGGCGGTTTGCTAAGTTGGCGTTCTTCAGGGTGAAGAGAGAGGAAGGCGGACCCCCTAAGTAGACCTGACCTAGATGATGAGGCAAGGCTGAACGTGGAGGGATCCATGACACTTATGAGCCACCACGCGGATGGGGCAAGGCTGTAACGCAACCTGTGAAGAATCAATAGCCCGCAAAGCACTCGCACCTCAGCCTCTGGTAGGCACGAAACTAGCTGCCTCATCTGATGTGATTCTCGGGCTCCTTCCTATGCGCCTGCCGCTGCTCGGCTCAGCCGCAGTTTTAGCGCAGCCCTCAGCAGCCACGAGGCTGGACTTCCTGTCTTCTGCCTCGGGATCCGCTGGTGTTTCTCTTTCGTGTATCTGTCCTTACCAGTAACAGTCTCTGCCCGACCCTCTAAAACATGCGAGCCTATGTACAATAGGTTCGCATGCGTCTCCAGGCGTTAGCGTCATATGGTCTTTGTATCGATGAGCACTATAATTATAGCTGATAAAGAAGACGCAAAAGCCAGAGTGGAGAAGGCTGACGCTGAGGTCGAACGGTTGAGTTAGCTTCCAGAGACTCTAGGACCAGCAGACAAGGCCGGTGATGATGACGACGCAACTACTTTGCAAGGCTCATTTCATGATGCCATGAGCGACGGGTCGGAAACTGGAAGTGGTTCCCGTGAACGCCATGCTGATCAAGAACTCGTAGGTCATTTCCTCGGCAGAGGTGCCATGGGCGATGTGTACAAAACAAGCGTACATGGTCACACCATTGCTTGGAAGAGGATCGTGTTCAGGCGCAAGATTCCATTACATGAGAGAAAAGAGATTAAGACACTTGAAAGGCTGAGGCATGTCCATATGATCCAATTCGTTGGAATATACACACACAGCCAGCATTGGGCATTCTCCTCTATCCGGTGGCGGTTTGCAACCTCCATACCTTCTTCGAAGACGTCGAGGCGCACTGGACAACTGGCGCCGATGAAGCCCAGAAAATCGACTCACACGTCTCGACTACTTTACCGCTTCTCAATCGCGATGTAAAGCCTCACCGGTGTGCTCCCAGATAGGTTGCCTCGTCTCCGCAGTCCAGTACCTGCACGCTCAAAAAATACGCCACAAAGACCTTAAGCATTTGAACATACTATTGTCCTCAAAACGGCTGTATCTGAGCAACTTTGGGAGTGCCACAGACTTTTCCCTGCTGTCAGAGAGCGCTACGGACAATGAACATGGAACGCTGCGTTACTATGCACCAGAGATGAGTTGCAACTTCCGAGGCACAGGACCCCCGCGTTGACCATTGTGCTCGTAAGGTTGCTGAATGGAAGGTAAATGGACAAGCTGCAGATACATTCTCCCTGGGATGTGTATCACTCGAGATACTAACCATACACTATGACGGCACACGTCGACGTTTGAGGACCAGCTGGTCTAAACGAGATCCTGCTTTCCACTCGAACCTGGACAATCTCGAATCGTGGCTCCCATGATTGGACGACCTCTTCAGGGACGTTCGAGCCATGCTTTTTAGAGAACCAGATAAGCGTCCGGTAGCACAAGCTCTTCTATCATGTGTCAGTCTCTGCGACAGGATGATAGAAAATAAGAAGCATTCTATATTTGGCGACTGTTGTAAAACTTCATAAGTCGCCACATCTTATTATACAGTGATACTTCAAGCGAAGGAACTGGAGCTTTAAAGGTTTGATGAAGACAAATAGCGACAAAGTCCAATATGCTGCAAGTCAGTTATACGTACCATATCAGCGCTCCTGATCAGATAATGTTCGCCTGTGGTCCGTTGCAGTGTTTGCCAGCGGTCCGCTGCACTGATTGTCCAGTTCATTCGGTTAGTGCAGTTTGCCTCCCCATCCTACCACTGCTATTCCTTTCCACGATATAGTCCCGATCGATCCTTGCCATAGCTCCACAGGTCAATCAAATCATCTCAACCCTTCCACAGATACCAGCGACAACTTGAAGAAGCGGGGATTGCTCTTAACAGTTTGAAGGAAAGTCCTTCAATAACATATGGAAACTTGTTCAAGTTGAAGGAGAGGCGAAAAGGACAAGGGTACCGTGTCCGTGCGCGTAATGCGCGGATTCGCGTAATGCGCCAAACCACCTTTTTGTACCCATACTTCACTGTACAATTACTCAACGCCACAATGACTATGAAATCTGCCTTTGAAGAGATAGACTCTATGATACCATGCGATAAGATCCCGTGGACAGCGCTGGCTAAAAAACATAAGGTTGTGCGCTCAACCCTGTCTCGAAAATATCGACACGAGACGCGATCGCGTGAAGAGAAGGCGATTGCACAACAAAAGCTCACTCCACAACAGGAGGACGAGCTTGTCAAGTATATAGAAGAGCTTACAGCTCGCCGTCTACCTCCTACAAGGGAAATGATAGCAAATTTCGCGTTGTCAATAGCCACAGAGCCAGTCAGCGAGAGCTGGGTTACTGTCATCCTGACATGGCTTGCAGCCAACAACAACCCTACCAGTCTTTATATACTTGTGTCAGCACCCATTTGTCAGCACCCATTTGTCAGCACCCATTTGTCAGCTCCCATTTGTCAGCTCCCATTTGTCAGCTCCCATTTGTCAGCACCCATTTGTCAGC